GCTGAGGCCCCGGAGGGAGGTGGAGTTCCCCAGCCTGAGTGCAGTGCAGGATAAGAAGGCGCCTGACCACCCACACGCCCAGCTCAGGTGTTGGACTGGGAGCTCTCCAAGCACCTTCGCGGGCCCAGGCTCTCCGGCTTTCACCTGTTGGGAATGACGCTGCCCAAATCCGAATCCCAGGATCTGGTTCCACATGGCTCGCAGCCACACTGGCTTTGGTGTGACTGCAGGCGTGCCGCAGCCTCTCGGAGGCCGAGTGCACTCCCAGCCCCTGCACTGACCATTCCAGGTCTCCGTGGGCCTCCTGCATAGACAAGTCTCAGGTTCACCTCTCAGGACTAAAAAATAGAAACTCCCAAGCAAGGCGCCTTTTAAACAAGTATATTCCTGAAAGGCTGAGCAGGAAGGGATTGGGGTCTCAGACGAGGTCATCCTCTCCCACCCAGAGGAACGCTGCAGTGACCACGGCCGCTAGGCAAATCACCACTCGGGGAACGCTAGTCTGTAATTTCGTGCAGGAGGTCTGCTTTTAGCCTGGACTCGCCCCTTGATCACCTGATTACGCCAGTTCTGCGGGAAACAGACACCACCACGGGAAACGCTAGCTAACAAGACTCAGCATAACTGCCCCTCCTCCAGCCTCCCCCATAAACCCTGCTTCTGATGGCTTCCCTCCGTCCAGCCTCTGACAGCCCCCCGCCCTGCTGTCCACTGCCCCCTCATCTCTGACTCTCCAGCCTTCCTTTCCCAACCTGTCCGGGCGCGATACCGCTTCGGGCTTACACACCTCCCACTGCCGCCATGCCGGCAGCCCAGGCAGCCCCCGCCAAGCTCCGTGCATTACCTTGGAGTGCTGTGGCCAGGTCCCTCGTGGCAGGCTCCCCTGTGCCGTGGCCCTGGGCTGGTGCAGTGCTGTTTCTTTTCGTCGGTGGGAAGGTAGCAAGGTCTGATGTGGTAGGGGTCTTGACACTGTCCAGTTTGGTCTCCCTAGAGGCTGGTTCCAGGGCGACGGGGAATGAGGTGACGGGGACAACTGAGCTTGTGGCTGTGCTGAGCTTGCTTCTGTTCAAAGCAAGAGAGTTCAGAGCTATGCCCACCTTGGCTGTGTTTGTTCTGGTCAAAGTCAAGGGTGTACCCAACCTGACTACGTCCACTGCAGTTGTGGTTGGGCCCAGTTTGACTGGGTCTGGCACGGCCAAATCCAGGGATATGCCTCTTGTGGTCAGATCTGGCTTTGCTGGGGCTGCCGTAGTGGTGGCTTTGCCCAGCTTGTCTGGGGTCGTGGTTTTTAGATCCAGAATCTTGCTCGGCTTGGTTGTCCGTACTGTGGTCAAATTCAGGGCTGGGCCTGGCTTGGTTTTGCCCGCTGTAGCCATGGTCATGGCTTTGCCCAGCTTGGTATCTGTAGCAGGGAGTTCTGTGCCTGTGTCCAGCCTGGATGTGTTTTGCGATGCCAAACTGATATTCAAGGTAGGTCTGTTTTTGGCCATTGCAGCCAGCTGTCTGGGTAGGTCTGGCCTTGTTGTGTCCAAAGAAGAGAAATTCATCACAGGGCTGGCCCTTTGGAGACCTCTCTGGGGTCTGGGAATAGGCCTGGACCGGGACTTACCTCTTCCTGGGGGAGCTCCAGTGCGCCCTGAACCCTCCCAGCCTGGTCCTACGAGGCTTGGTGAGCGTTGCACTAACTGGGTTTGGAAAGGTAAGGCCAGGTAGGAACACACCAGAGGCCTCTTCACTGTGGGCATCCTGCTGGGCTTGGCCAGGCCCGGGTTCCCCGGGCCCTCAGAGTGGACCGTGCCCCCTGGCAGTAGGTTCGTGGGTGCTGAGTCTGCTGGAGTGGACAGCCTGCTTTCTCCCTGCGTGGCAGCCTCTTGGCTCAGGGTGGGCAACTCCTCCCAGTGAGAAAGGAGGGGGTCCAGGGACCTCGCCTGACTGTTCTGAGAGATTGTCAAGGAGATGGAGCTGAGCTTCCTGGGAGCAAGGCTGCTGGCAGGCAGGGGGCTCAGGGCGGCCCCTGGGGCAGCACCAGTCTCCTGGAGGGGCACACTCCAGGCTCTGGCTGCAGGGCCCAGGCGGCTGGCAGTCTGGGGGATGTGGCTTTTGGAAAAGGCATCCAGGTGGATGGTCTTCCTGGGGGCTGGGAGGAGCGGGGATACCCCTCCAGGGAGCCTGGAGGGGCGGGCGGGGTGCCCCAGCATGTGGCTGTGGGAGAAGGAGGCCCCAGGGCCCGGGGCTCCCTGCGGCTGTGTCTCTGGAGGAGCCGGAGCAAAGTTGTGGTCCATGCAGGCTGTTCGTCTTCCCCTGAGATAATCAAAAGAGAGAGGGGACCAGGCAGGAGTGAGGCACTAGGGCCTGGAGGTCTCAGCGCTTGCCCTCCTGACCACGGTGGGCACCAAAAAACTATGCACGGTTTGCAAGCTTGTCTAACACCAAAATAAACTCATCTTTTAATCCCATTTTGCACACATTGTGCAGCACCTTTGTATCTTCTACATGCTGCCGACGTGCACACGCCTCACACACACTGGCCAGCTGCCACCCAGGGGGTACATGGACGCATCCACTGAGCCGCTTCCTCCAGCATGAGGGAACTCGGGGGTGGGTTTACCTCTCCCTGTGCAGGGCCTGAGGGTGGCCCCTCTCTCTGTGGAGAGCTTTGCGGAGTCCACATCCACATCCAGGGACCCCAGAGGAGAGCAGTGACTACTGGACGCCTATCTGCCTAGCTCTTCCAGAAGGAGCCAAAGCCAAGACAGGGGCTCTGGCATCAGGTCAGAGACCAAGGGATGACCAACTTGGCTGGAAAACAGGGTCTGGATCTGGGGCTCCTGTCCAGAGCCAGGAAAGAGCCCTGGGCTGGCCTGGGGCTGCCGCCAAAGCAGCCGAGAGCCCCAGGGAAGGTGGGCTTGGGAAGTGGGGAGGAAATGGGGCTCAGAGAAGAGACCTGTCCAGTGCGTGAGGCACAGCCACTGCCCCCGGGTCCCCTGGGATGCCAGGCAAGGAGGTGGGCAAGGCACCGCCGAGGCGAACCTTTGGGGTAGGCACCAGCCAGGCCCTGCTGTCAAAGAAGGGAGGCTGGGCCTGGGCTCGGGTGATGGTTAGAGAAGGCCCCAAGGTGAGAGGGCAGCACCGTCCTGAAAATCCAGTGTGGTTCCCAGGCTGTGTCTGGTGGGGGCAAGACTGCAGGTGAGCAGGCAGACGGCTGCCTGGAGGCGGGGAGTGGGCAGGGGATAAGGGGTGTTGAGGATGCTGCTCGGGACTGGCCGGTGGGCTGCACAGAAGGGTCTTTCCCTGAGGTGGGCTCTGGGACCCTCGGACGGCCAGCCAGTGCCCGCTGTGGACTCTGTGCACCAGAGTTGTTTTCCTCGCGCTCAGCATAGCAGGCACGTGCTTCCTGGAGTCTCAAGCCAGGTCTGGCGGGAGGGGTTAGTTCCAAATGTCAGAGAAGGGGCGGGGGTGCTCTCGGAGCCGAGTCCCTGACGTAGATCTGGATCCCTCCCAGTGGCACCCCCAGCCCCTCAGCCCTCTTTAGCCGTGGATTTGTAGCCAGGATCTTTCTGCCGTCCATCCGCTCCCTAGTTGGCACACCCCTGCAGCCCGGCTCTCTGTCACAGCTACGGGACCCCAGGAGCACACACATTTACTCAGCCCAGAACCACAAACATCCACCCCCAGAGAGAGGCCAGGGGCTGGGGTGGCTGGGACCTGTCTGTTCTGACGCCACCAGCTCGCCACCCCTCACTGAGCCGCTGCCCTGCTCCGCACCGCTTGTCTGCTACCCCCGGCACACGCACGAGCACCCACTTACCTTGATCAGAGAACAGGAAAGGGCCTGGGGTTTTCAGTCCTTGGTCCTCGGCCCTCGGCCTGGAACGTTGGGGCAAGTACAGGCCCTCACCTCCTCTGCACCCTGAATGTGACCATGGTGACCGACTCAGGGACTGTGTCCCTCTGGTCCCCTCCTGGGCTCCCACCTGGCCCCCAGGCCACAATCCTCAGGCTCAAGGTCCAGCCCTCTCCTGACCCGTGTGACTGGCCACATCCCTGGCAGCAGGGCTAGGCTGGGCCACAAGGCAGGGAGGGGCTGGCTCTCAGGGAGTAGGCGTCAGTGAATGGCTGCTCTGAGCCTCTGGAATCCTAAGAGCCATGGGAGGCTGAGAAGGACCAGGCTAAGCTGCCCTGGCCAAGGCCACCTGGAGGAGGGGGCGGCCTGCTGCCTGCCCTCCCCCAGATCTGCCCTGTCTCCCCCAGACTGACCCCGGAGAAAGTCTCCAATAAGAAGCAGCACTCTCCCCGTAGAGTCCCTCAGATGGCCCCAGGGCCAGCCTTGCTCCTGCTTGCCCGGCTAAAGCCCTCATGCCCTGGTTAGGTCTCTTGCCCACCAAGATGTTCCCAGGCTTGGGCCTGCCCCCTTCCACAGCTACACCCTGGGCCCCAGCTCCCTGCAGCTCCAGCTGCACCTGCACTCTTGGACCTGAAGGTATGCAGACGGCCCAGCCCTGGGCTGTCATTGAGGAGACCCACGAGGCCACCCAACCTGGCCCAGGCAATGCTCTCAGCGGACCCTGGCCCTCAGGCTGGGACAGGGACCCTCACCTGTGTTCCCACAGCCCTAGGAGCCTCTGTCACAGCATGGGAACACTGATGGTGGCAGGGATAACAGTCACCGATGTGCCCAGCACTATTCCGGGCTGGGAGGAGCCCCTCACCTGCCCTGGAGAAGATGGCCGTGAGAGCCAGTCCTTATGGTATCAGCCATGTGACGGTGACCGAGACTTCCCGGGGGGCACTCACCCCGAGCCAGGAGCTAGGCTCAGCCTTCGGCTGGCATGTCCTTTCGTCTTCACCTTGTCACCTGCTGTTTGCTGGTGAGGACGCTGCGCCCCACAGGACACCGTGGGTGGTCTGCTCCATGTCCCTGGGCGTCGCTCGGCAGTGAGCAAGCTTTGGGAGCCGCGTCGGCCAATAGAACTTTCGGTGATAATGGAAAAGTTCTAGATCTGGGCCCCATACAGTAGCCACAGCGGCCTGCTAGGCACTGAAAAGGTGACTACAAGGCGACCAAGGAACTGGATTTTTTCCTTCTCTTGCTTTTTAATGGATGGTTGCTCTCTTGGACAGCACCACTCTGAGGGCCTGGGTTTTACTTTTCTCTGGGCCCCAGTGCCTGGAAAGAATCAGCCTCAGTTTTCTGTACAATGGATGAGTGAACGAAATGACTGAATGGTGAATATGTGGGCCTAGGACCCTCCCCTCTTCCTAGCCTTTCTCCCTCCTTCAAGCTGTAGGTTTTTGAGCTTGGCTGTGTTCTGGTTACCAGGGCAACCTGCTGGGAGTCCCCCTGGAGGGGGCGGGGCAGCTGTCTGGAGTTCTTCCCCTTTCTTTCCTTGTTTGAAGCCCAGTGGACCAGCCTGACTTGAAGAAGAAAGAAAACAAAGTAGTTGGAGAAGGCAGTAGTCAGGTTGTACCCAGACAGGGACTCGGGGGGTGGGGGGCTTTGCTGGGCTCACCCCCACTGGATGGCACTGCCTCTGTGAGATCCAGGGGCCCTTGGTTCTCTGCCCACCTTAGTTACTTATTTTTAAAAGATTTATTTATCTATTTGAAAGTCAGAGCTAGAGAGAGATGGAGAGACAAAGAAGAGAGAGATCCTCCAGCTGCTAGTTCACTCCCCAGACACCCGCAACAGCCAGGGCTGAGCCAGGCTGAAGCCGGAAGCCAGGAGCTTCATGTGGGTCTCCCACCCACATGAGTGGCAGGGGCCCAAACACTTGAGCCATCTGCTGCTGCTTTTCCCAGACGATCAGCAGGGAGCTGGATCGGAAGTGGAGCAGCTGGGACTTGAACCGGTGCCCTCAGGGGATGCCTGCGTCACAGGTGGCAGCTTAGCTGCTATGCTTGCACACCAGCCCCTCTCTGCCCACGTCAGCCAACAACTCACTGAGTGGCTCTGTCAGATCACTTGCCCCTCTGGGCCTCAGCTGCCTCTTCTATGGGGACCAGAACCCCACGTGGTGTCTTCTAGCAGAAGACCTGGACTTTCTCCACCCTGCTGCCTGCCAGGCATCCAGAGCCAGGGCTGAGGCTGCCTCTGCTCCCAGCTCTCTCCAGTGTTGGGCGGCTTAAGTGGACACCGCCTGCCCAGTAAGCACAGCCTGAACTCAGCTGCCCTCTAGTGGCCACACTGAACAATGACCTCATGTACTTGGAGTTTCTTCCTAAAGAGTGGCCAGCCTGGTGGTGGCCTCAGAAGACAGAGACCTCCACTCAAGGTCAAAATCATTGTGGTGGTCTCGCAGACAAGTGGCTCAGGTCTGGAGTCTGCCGAGCCTGGGTTTGTTACAGCTGCATCATTTTAATCAAGTCCCTTTATTTCTCCATGCTCCAGCTTCCTTGTCTATCAAATGAAGATTGTGTAGGTCAGGACGGGTTAAGTTATGTCGCAACACCAACCCATGGGCTGGCACTGTGGCGTAGCAGGTAAAGCCGCCATCTACAATGCTGGCATCCTGTAATGGCACCTGTTCGAGTCCTGGCTGCTCCACTTCCAGCTCTCTGCTATGGCCTGAGAAAGCAGTAGAAGATGGCCCAAGTCCTTGGGCCCCTGCACTCATGTGGGAGACCCGGAGGAAGCTCCTGGCTTCTGGCTTCGGATTGGCCCAGCTCCAGCCCTTGCAGATGTTTAAGGAGTGAACCAGTGGATGGAAGACCTCTCTCTCTCTCTGCCTCTGCCTCTCTGTAACTCTGCCTTTCAAGTAAATAAATAATAAATCTTTAAAAAACAAACAACAACCCATCTGCAAAGCCCAGGGCATAGGTGAGAGGCTGGGCTCCTCACTCCTTCCGCGTGTCCACTCTCACACGGGTCTCGCCTTTGAGGGAGCCTTAAGCCCCAGCCCTTCTCCCACGCTGGGCTGCCAGCCCTCCCAAGCCCAGGGCTCAGCCAGGGGAGGGAGGATGGGGTGGAACAATGGAAGCCTGTGCTCCCGCCGGCCAGAGGCCAAGCATCGCGGCCCCTCCCACGCGGGGACTGCGCATTTCTGCCTCCTGTGCTCCCACTCTGGGCCAAACCCAGAAGGAGCCTCGCTTTCCCGTCCTGACGGCTCTCAGATGGCGGACGAGGCAAGCTCCCGGACTCTGCGAAGCCTCTCGAAGCGTGTTAAAAGCTCACAGCCTGGCCCCCATGGCGCCTCTAAACCTCTCTAAAGCTTGGCCTCCAAGCAGACAGGCAGCCCCCACGAGACTTCCAGAGTCCGGACCCATTCATTCTCGGGGGTCCTACCCTGGGCCAGGCAGGCTGTAGCCAAGATAAGAAGGAGCAGATGCCCTTCACGGACTTGTGACCAGAATCACAGCACAAGACGAGGGCTGCAACAGGACAAGGTGCTCGTGGGGTCAGGGAAGGCTTCCTGGAGGAGGTGGCATCTGAAAGGGCAGCAGAGTCTCTCCCTGGTTCTAAGCCTTATTTGCAAAGCCACTGCTTCAGTTGCTCAATCTCCCCACCACTGCCGCCACCACCTACTAATGCATTCTCTTTTTTAAAATATTTATTTATTTATTTGAAAGAGTTACACACACAGAGGAGAGGCAGAGAGAGTCTTCCATCCTCTGGTTCATTCCACAATTGGCTGCATCAGCCGGAGCCATGCCAATCCGAAGCCAGGATCCAGGAGCTTCCTTCAGGTCTCCCACGTGGGTGCAGGGGCCCAAGGACTTGAGCCGTCCTCCACCGCTCTCCCAGGCCACAGCAGAGAGCTGGATCGGAAGTGGAGCAGCCGGATCTGGAACCAGCGCCCATACGGGATGCTGGCACTGCAGGAGGAGGCTTTTACCCGCTACACCACGGCACCGGCCCCCTACTGATGCACTCTGTGCCTCAACAACACCACACGCTGCACTCAGTTCTCAGAAGGGACCAGGTCCTCTGGCCTCGTGGCTGTGCACTTGCAAGCTTTCCCTGCCAGGAAAACTACAGCTCTGTGATCGCTCTGCTTGCCTTCGGGTTTTGAGCCCCTTGGACTCAAGGACTGCCCATGTCTTGCTGCCTGTGCATTGGCGGTGCCAGGCCCAGTGCCGGGCTGGGGCAGCTCCTGGACGTGCCTCTGGGGAGGGAGGAGATTGACGCGTGCAGTGCCTTCTTCCCCACGCCTTCCCCGGACACCTGCCACCCCCCAGTGAGGCTGGCAGGGCAGAAGCAATGGGAAAAGAAACGGGTCCCTCCAGACCCCCAGACCCGGGCTAAGCACGGTCGGTGCCAGGCCCTGGCTTCAGGCGTCATCATTCGTGGTTCTTTGAGTTCAGGAAACGTGCCCACCGACAAGAGGATTCACCGCGGCCAGGCCCCAAGCTGGAGCTGCAGCCGGTCCGCTCCTCTGCCTGCCCGGGCACACTGAATATCCTGCTCCATGAGCCCCAGCGTGTGTCCAGAGGCCGTGTCACCTGGGCCGAAGCTCCCGGCGCTACACGTGGCTGTGTCACTCTGAATATCCCATCTGAGGCATTTCTTTCCTATTTTTTGTAATTTTAAAACTTATTTTTTTATGGGACCAGTGCCGTGGCTCACTAGGTTAATCCTCTGCTTTCGGCGTCAGCATCCCATATGGGTGCTGTGTTCTAGTCCCGGTTGCCCCTCTTCCAGGCCAGCTCTCTGCTGTGGCCCGGGAGTGCAGTGGAGGATGGCCCAGGTGCTTGGGCCCTGCACCCGCATGGGAGACCAGGAGGAAGTACCTGGCTCCTGGCTTCGGATCAGCATAGCTCCAGCCGTAGCAGCCATTTGGGGGGTGAACCAATGGAAGGAAGACCTTTCTCTGTCTCTCTCTCTCTCTCTCACTGTCTAACTCTATCTGTCAAATAAAAAAAATATTTTTTATGTACTTGAGAAAGAGAGATAGGGAAAGAGAGGTCTCACCTACAAGGTCATTCCCCAGCTGCACACAATGACCGAGGCTGGTCTGGGGGCAGGACCAGAAGCTGCAAACACAACCCAGGGCGCCCGCGTGGGGGACAAGAACCCAACTCCTAGGTTGGCAGGAGGTGGAGCTGCAGCCAAGGATCAAACCCAGCGCTCCAATGTGGATGTCTGTTTGCTTGTTTGTTTGTTTTTTCCCTGAAGATTTATTTATTTATTTGAAGGGGAGACAAAGAGAGATCTTCCATCTTCTGGTTCACTCTCCGCAAGGCTGAAATGGCCAGGGCTGTCCGGAATCCAGGAACCCGGTGCTCCATCCAGATCTCTCACGTGGGTGCCAGGGGCCATCCTCTGCTGCTTTCCCAGGTGCATTAGCAGGGAGCGGGGTCGGAAGCAGAGCAGCTGGGATTCAAACAGGCACTCTGATATGGGATGTGGGCATTGAAGATGGCAAGCTAGCTCACTGTGCCACAGTGCCAGCCCCAAAAAGGGCAGGTGTTAGCCATTAGCTTAAACACCTTCTCCAGGCATTTCTTTTAGTACTTAGAATCTAAAATTTGTCTTTTTTTTTTTATTTGACAGGTAGAGTTACAGACAGTGAGAGAAAGAGAAAGATCTTCCCTCCATTGGTCCACTCCCCTAATGGCCACCACAGCCAGCACTGCGCCGATCCGAAGACTTGAGCCAGGTGCTTCTTCCCAGTCTCCCATGCGGGTGCAGGGCCCAAGCACTTGGGCCATCCTCCACTGCACTCCTGGGCCACAGCAGAGAGCTGGCCTGGAAGAGGAGCAACTGGGACTAGAACCCGGTGCCCATAGGGGATGCCAGCGCTGCAGGCAGAGGATTAACCAAGTGAGCCACGGCGCCGGCCCCTAAAATTTGTCTTTAATAAAGAATCAATCCCCCCCTTCTGTCACATGATCCTAATAAAATGACCTATTTGTCATTTCCCTTGGCCTGGCGGGAAGTATTATAGCAGGAGGCAAAGTTACCGTACAGACAGACGCCCCTTGGCTTATGATGGGGTAGCAAACCAATAAACTCATCACCAAGTCGTAACGATCATGAGTCAGAGACACACTGAGACGCCAGCACTGTGGTGCAAAGGGTTAAGCTGCCACCTGTGATGCTGGCATCCCATAATAGCACCAGCTCAAGTCCTACACTTGAACTTGCTACACTTCCAATGCAACTCTCTGTTATTGTGTTGGGGAAAGCAACAGCAGGTGGCCCAAGTGCTTGGACTCCTGCCACCCACGTGGGAGACCCGGATAGAGCTCTGGACACCTGGCTTCAGACCAGCCCCAGCCACTGTGGCCATCTGGGGAGTGAACCAGCAGATGGAAGATGTGCCTTTCCTCTCTCTCTCTCTCTCTCTCTCTCTCCTCTTTCTCACTCCCTCTAACTCTCCTTTCAAAAAATGAATCTTTTATAAAAACTACCAATTTTCTGAAAAAATAAATAAATAAACGCACTGAGTGCCCCAGCACACAGACCATCCTAGCGCAGCAACCCAGCTGAGCGGGAGCTGTGGCTGCTGCCGCTGCCTGGCATCAGGGCAGACTCCAGCCACACAGCACTCGCCTGCGAAAGACCCACATTCACGCTGCAAAACACAGTTTCCGCTGAGTGCGTACGGCTTTCGCGCCATCGCCAAGTCAGAAAGTCGTAAATCAGGGTTTGTCCGGACCTCCTTCTCCCTCCCAAGTGGGAGCTGTGGCTGCAGCCTCCTCGGGCCCTTTATGGGAGGAGCAGATGTAAATAAACGTTTATGTAACAAGCCCCAGGGAGGCGCCTGGGCAAGGATCCAGGGGAAGAGCAGAAGGCTTGGGGGAGTCCCTCACCCGGCTGGGCCTCGGGCTCCTTGTCGGCAGCTGGGTGGGAGGCGCTCTGGCAGGGCCATGGCAAACACCCTCCCTGCCGCGGCCTGACACCCACGTCCCGAAGCGTTCACACCCCAGACCCGGTGCACTCGAGGTTTTATTTTTAAAGAGCCGCCAGAAAAGGAGATTTTAAATGTGACATCTCCTGACTTGAAACGGAGGCAGCCAATTTGCATTTTTTTCAAAACCCTGTGTAGGACAACCCAGAGCCCGCCCCCATCCCCAGAGCCCAGTCCACGCCAAAAGGATCCGCGTGCTGTGGCTGAGCTGCCCTTTGATCGTTTCTTCTGGAACCTGCCTTCCCCACCACGACACGGCCACAGGGCTGCCTTGTTCTGAGACGACCCAAGCCCAGGACCCCAAGGGGACCATACACAGGACCCTGCCCTAGCCTTGGGTGTTGGGCTCTAAGTGGACACTTGCCCTACGGTGAGCCAGTGAGCCCCTTTCCTGAGATAGCAAAGCTCAAGGCCAGGCCGGCACAGGAAACTCTGTGTCCAGCAGCTGTGGCCGTGAGACAGGAAATATCCCCCGTGGGTATGGTGGAAGCGTGAAAATGGTGAGGGGTGGGCATGGGCAGAGGTTAAGACGCTGCCTGGGGTGCCCGTATCCAGTACCAAACTGTAGACTTTGAGCCCAGACTCCGGGTCTGACGCCAGCTTCCTGCTAGTGCACATCCTGGGAGGCGGCAGGCGATGGCTGGGATACTGCTCGGATCCCTGCCACCCACATGGGAGACCTGGAGTGAGCTCCAGTCTCCTGGTTCCGGCTTGGCCCAGCCTGGGCTACTGTGGGCAGAGAGTGAACCAATGGGTGAAGGATCCCCCTAGATCTCTCTGTCCCTCGCCTTTCAAACAAAATGAAAATAAAGAAATATCTTCAAAGTGGCGAAAGAAGGACACCTAAGGGGTCTGCGTGCCTGGCTCCCACTGTCCTGAGCCCCTGGTCTTGCCTGTCCGAACGGGCTGGAGCACCCCACATCCGTAAGTTCCCCTTCTTGCCCCAGCCGGAGACTGGGATTTCTGCCCCTCCCACTCTCTGCTCCTGCCTGGAACTTTTCATTCCTGCCCCCGACCACAGCTGATAAAAGGCGACAGCACGGAGCTTCTGGTCCGGCCTCACACTCTTCACTGAGATATTGAAAGAGAAATAGTACGGAAAGAGGGACTCCGGAAACCCGGAGCAGCAAACATGGAATGTTCGAGGAGGGAGCCCAGCATGCCCTGGGGACTGACGCCCCAAGAGAAACTGAGGCACCTGGTCTGGGTGCAGATCTCAGTCCCTTGCCCGGTGCCCTCAGGCCAATCTCTGCTAAAATGAAATGGCAACTGTCTCCACATACTCTCCCCCTTGAAAGGAAGTGGGCTTTCAAAAATTTCTTCATTCATGCGCTCATGCATTTGAGAAGCAGAGAGTACACTCCGCCAATGCTGGCCAGGCAGAAGCCAGGAGACAGCAACTCGATCCAGGTCTCTCCTGCAGGAGGCAGCAGCCCAATTCCATGAGCCACCACCGCTGCCTCCCAGGGTCTGCATCAGCAGGAAGTTGGAGTTATGAACCAGAGCCTGGTATCGAACCCAGGTTCCCAAATGTAGGAGATGGGTGTCCCAAGCAGCATCTTAGCTGCTGATGGAACACAAGAGGTGGACTTTGAAAATGGACACACTGCCACCCAGCCAAAGGCCAGCCTTTCTAGCCTCCCTTGCAGGCAGAGGTAGCCATGGAACTCAGTATTGGCCCGGATGCAGTCATGGGCAAACACCAGGGTGCCCCTTCCACCCGGCCTCTCTTCGCTGCCGAGGTGCAGCTGCGCCATCGTGGATCGTGCCAATCAAAGCGACTTCCCCGGTCGGGGAAGCAGCCAGAGGGCAGCAGCCTGGGCCCCTGAGCACTGCGTGGGAGCAGCCACCAGACCTGCCCCGGCCACCCACAGGAAAGGAACAAAACCCTGCTTGGCTTAGGACGCTGGCCTCTTGCGTCTCAGTGGTTGAGTCTGTACACTCACTGGCCCTCTGCCCCCGGGATTCCAGCTCACTGTGTGTGACAGGGTGGGGGCCAGGGCTGCGGGCATCAAGCTGGCAGCCCCCACCCCAGGGATGGCAAGCATCCCACAGGGCACAGGACAGCGCCCCACAACCGAGAGTGATGTGGTCCGAAGTCCCAGTGACACCGCGCTTGAGAAGCGCCCTGCTCTGCCTTCTCCGAAATTCAGCGTCCCCGTGGCTGCCACACGGACTGTGGAGCCACCAGAACCCAGTGGACTGACCGACAAGAGCCCCACTTTCAAACAAGGAGACGGCTCTGCAAAGACGGCGTGGAGGCTTTATGGTCGTGAATCAGGGAGGGTGGAAGCCCAGGGGAGGAGCGGCAGTGAGGCAGGCTGCCAGCCTGCATCCAGGATGAGGCAATGGAGGCAGCGTGCAGGAGGGGCTGGGGGGGGGGCTGGAGGGTCTGGGGGAGCCTGGCTCGGCCCTCGAAGTGCAGCACAGAACAGGGAGAGAGTGCAGGGGCTCCACCCGAGCCCTGAGGAAGGGGAAGGGCAGGCAAAGCCCAGCAGAGGGAGGCGAGAGGCACTCACTGGGGACAAGCCTCAGAGTGCTCATCCGGTCCCCATCAGCTGCTATCCCGCTGAGGCCCCCAGTATCTCCCACACATGCACCTGCACCTCCCCACCCTCCGGGGACCTGCCCCAGACCCTCATACTCCCCTCCCCCTCCCTTCCCTGGGCTCTTACCCTCTACAGGCCCCCACCCCAAACCCTCCCCACTTCCAAGCCTGAGTTACAGGTGTTGGGGCGAGGCTGGACCCAGCTGCCCTTCCTCCCAACAAGACCTTCTCCTTGGGTCAACCCTGCCTGTCCCAGCCACTGTCGGGAGTGGGGAGCTCAGTGCAGCTGGGGATCCGGAGGCCCAGGACGGGCAGGGGTAGCCACTCCTGACTCCAGGTGGAGAGGCAGAGGGCTGAGCAGCACAAAGGCACAGGGGACCAGTGCGGGGTGTGCCCAGAGCTGGGGAAGAGGGGTGCAGAGTGAGCCGGCTTGACAGGGGAGGGAGCCAAGGCGCTGCGCCAGCTGCTGCAATGCATTCGGGCGCCAGGTGCGCCTCCTCGGCTGCCAGGGTCTTCCCGGAGCATCTCTGCTGGGAGCGCCCGGGCGGGTGCCCGCCGCTCCTGCCCGCGGGCTCAGACCTCCGGGCCGCCGAAGGCCAGGTTGTCCCGCACCATCAGTGTCTTGCGGAGGTCCCGGTCCACCAGGGGGCGCTGCATGCGCCACTTGTGCGCCTCCTGCAGGCCAGGCTCGAAGTAGTAGATGCAGGCGCCGAAGCCCACCAGGATGAGGACGGAGATGACCAGGTAGACAGGAACGAACCAGTCCAGGAAGTGCGGCATCGCAGCGGCCTCAGCTGCGGAGACACGGGTGTGAGGGCCATCGGAGGCGCCCGCTGTCCCACCCACCCAGTCGGAGAGCAGGTGACCCAAGCCTCAACGTGTAGATGGGGAGACGGAGGTCCAGGGGAGTGGGGGTCGTGCCCGATCGAGACTGCAGCCCAGGCCTCCTGGCCACACGCAGAGCTGTCCCGGCCGTGTGGGGACCCCCAACTCCCACTCACCCTGTAAGCAGGAGACTTGCAGGCAACAGCTGCTGGGCTCAGTCCCTCTCCAGCATGCGTGCCCTCGGGAAACGGCCCGGCCTCTCCGGAAGTCCGCTTCCTGCCCTGCGGAAGAAGTGAATGCAGTCTCCATATGGGTCCCAGTGGGCACCCATCTCCGGATGGGCCTGTGCAGCCCACTCAGTAAAGAGCGCCTTGGGAGACGTCTTCGCTGCTCAGTTGCTGTGGCTGCCACTGGCCAGCCTCCCTTCCCCCACCCCCAATGAGTGAGTCCCCAGCCACCTGCACACCTGTGCTCAGGTGTGGCTTGGTGAAAGTGTAGTGAACAAACACCCAGCCCAGGGGATCTGACTGATACCCACAGTCTACATAGGTCCAGTTTTATAATTATAAAGCCATGGATGCTAGCAGGAAAAAAAAAAAAAAAAGGCAAGACTCTCCGAGCCTTGATTTCTCTATCTATAAAGTGGGTGCTGAGGTCATAGAGCTTTTCTGGCAGCTGAATAAGTGAATTGATATAAAGTGCTCAGAACCAGTGCCTTGCACGTGATAAATGCTACAGAGCAGGTTCACTCTTGGTCTCTGACCCTCAGTTTCCTTACCTGTGAGTCACGTTCTAAGGGAACTGTGAATGTTTAACAAGACAGCGCCGTTTACAGATGCTGCATGGCATAGAATCAGCACTCAATAAACAGCAGCCCTTGGTGCGCCCAGTGACCCAGAGGTGGGAAAGGCAGGAAAGCGGCCGGTGGCAGGTGTAACGCGCCTCACACACCCAGGCTCCTTAGAATGGCCTCACGCCCCACCCTGCGCGCCACTGTGCAGCACTGTCAGCCACATGTGTGCACCTGCGTGTTACCTACCCTTCCTCTTTGTACACTTTCATTTTCCCTGGAATGTTTTTTGTGTTCTTGTTCACTTGGCGAACTCCTAGTCATTCTTCAAAAGCCAGATCACAAATCATCTCCAGGGACGGGATGATGCCAGGCTGATTTCACCCACCCCCTAACCATCCCTCACATAAGAAAGAGGCGGGGGGTGGGGGGCAGCGCTGTGGTGAAGTGGGTAAAATTGCTGCCTGCAGTGCTGGCATCCCATATGGGTGCTGGTTTGAGTACCAGCTGCTCCACTTCTGGTGCAGCTCTCTGCTATGGCCTGGGAAAGCAGTAGAGGATGGCCCAAGTCCTTGGGCCCCTGCACCCCTGTGGGAGACCTGGAGGAAGCTCCTGGCTCCTGGCTCCTGGCTCCGGATCAGCACAGCTCCAGCTGTTGCGGCCATTTGGGGAGTGAACCAACGGAAAAAAGACCCCCCCTTCTCTCTCTCTCTCTCTCTCTCTCTCTCTCTCTCTCTCTCTCTCTTTCTCTGCCTCTCTGTAACTCTGTCTTTCAAATAAATAAATAATTTTTTTTTAAAGAGAGAGAGAGAGGCAGGGAGAGGAGCCCACCTTGCCTGTCCTGCCCTTTCACGAACCTCAGGACAGGCTTATGGGGCGGGTAGCACTGTGCACAGAAGAGGAAGCTGGGGCCCAGACAGGTTCACCAACTCGCCCTGGGTTGCCCAGCTGGGAAGTGGCCGAGCCAGACCCTGGGCCTGGTGACGACTTGAGTCCTCCAGGGCAAGCAAGGATACTTGAGCAGGATGAAGCGCTTCTGCAGAGAGCAGCCCCAGCCCCTCTGACCTCTGTCTGCAAACTCCAGCTCCTCTTGTCCCCCTGCTCCCGGGTGCGCTGTGACCTAGGGGAGGGAGAGATGCTACTGCCCTGAGCTGCATTCGTGCAGAACCCCCCGCCCCCCACCAGGGTTTGGAGCACAGACACTATGTCAAGGTGCCCTGCCCACAGAGGAAAGCAGTGAAGAGTGTGCTGTTTGTCCAAAGTCAGGGTCACACCACGGGGGAGGGGGCAATGTGTAGGACCCATCACCCTCCTCCCACCCGCCTTTCTGAGAGCCAAGGAGAGAGTTCAGAGTTACCAGGTGTTGCCAGAGTGGGTGGAAGGTGGGGAAGAAGACCCCCAGGCAGGAAGGCTGCTCCAAACCGGCTTGACTGGGACAAGGTGATGCACACAGGCCTCCCTGGGACCAGTGAGGGCTCCAGTGTCCTAGCCTGCACTTGAGAGTGGGGGCTGGGGCAGTACAGAAACCATCCCAGCTGCAATGCTGCACCATGGAGCAGAGGTCAGGGGCTCCAAACAGCTCCAGCCCTGTGGACAAATCCCCAGGCCCTCTGGGCAGACTGTGGACCCACCAGACTTTTTCCTGGCTTCCCGGGAGACTGGCCTAGGTGGAGAACAAAGCGTTCATGGGCCCGTGTGACCATGGATCGTTCCCCAGCCTCTCTGGGCTGCTGCAAGCTATGCGCAGAGCCAGGGTGGCCATGGGAGTTACCAGGCGATCCGGGGGAATTCTCCAGCCCCATTTCAGCCAAGGTCCTGCCTGGGCAAGTGTGGAGGTTGCAGAGCCCCTCTCTGCCTCCCAAACTGTTGGCATCATTCGGTACCCCCACCCTGCGTGCCCGCAGACCTACCTCACGCCCTGCAGATGCTTGTTCCGCCTTAGCCCGAGCTGCTCACCGCGGGCCTGCGGACTCAGTCACAGCTACTGTCCCCAGGGACGCTGCCATCTGCGGCTGCCTTGGGTGCTGGAAGCAAAGATAGGGCGAGGCCAGTGCCCTACACAGGAGACGGAGCTTCTGAGGCCCAGGAGCTGGGAGCGGACCAGGAGGGGGCAGTGCTGGGCTGGCTCAGCACCCTGGTACATTCGCTGCCCATTGGAGACCCTTCCCTCTACCTCCCACTCTCAGGATGACAGGAGGCGGAACCGGCCTCAACCAATCAGCAGCCTGGGAGAGCAAGCGCTTGATCCTCCGTTGCCCTGGCAACCAACCTTCTCTTCTGCATCCCTCCCTCTGTGCACGTGGTACAGCAGATGACAGGGAGAGCAGGATGGGGGAATTTGGGCAGGATGAGAGTCAGCCAGCAAACTCCTGGGCCCCGAGGCTGGTGGGTCCAGAGAGGAGAGGACCCGGCTGAAACAGGAAGAGTCTGGGGTCCCTGACATGTGAGTGGGGGGACACAGAGGCAATGAAGTTCTCAGGTTGCCAAGCAGAGACCAAGTCTGAGTCAGAGTCTGGATGCATTGGCTCAATGTTGCATTTAGTATGCACCAGACATCGCTTTCAGTGTTTTTCCTGTACTGACACAGTTAGCCCTCATGGAAGGTCACCTAGCAAGAAAGTAGCAATGCCAGCTGCAGCCCCAGCCTGGCAGCCAGGGCCCCCACAAGGGGCTGGTTCTCCTCACTCTGCCACATCAGCCCCACTGCTCCCCTGGCTGGGGCAGGACCTGGGATAGCACCCAACCTGCCAGGCGTAACCCCACACCACACTTTACTCAGCGTTCCCTGCTCTGACAGGTGACGAGGCCTCAAGGAACCAGCTCTATCGGGAGATCATAGCCAGAAACCTGAGGCCAGGCAGGTGCAAACGACTCTGGGTGAGGTAGCTTTGGGACTCCCAAAGCCCCCACTTCGCAGGCACCCTGGGACCATCTGGGGGCCCTGCAAGAGTGGTGGCTCCTCTCCACGTGCGTGCAGCACAGTGGGAGATTCTGCATGCCCAGAGGGAGTTGTTGTTTTTAAACTCAGGTGCAAGGTGCATACATCTACGTGGTAGATTTTTAGCTGTGAATGCACCACCCAGGTCAAAGAATAGGGTGTTTCCATCACCCCAGGGAGTTCCCTCCTTCCCTTTGCCAATCAATACTCCCTCCCCAAGGCACCCACTGATCCGACTTCAGTCACCACTGAGTCATTCGCCTGTACTTGAGGCCATCCTCCAGCGCCTTTGTGCCTGACTCCTGTCACTCCGCGTGCTGCTCCTGAAATCCCTCACACTGCCCCATGGATCAGCATCACAGTCTGTTAAGTGTTCACCACTACAGGACACTTGGGTCATTTCCAGCCCGGGACTATTTGTGAGCAAAGCCATGGTATTAGTGGTTTGCTACTCTAATGAACTACTTGAGGCAGGCTACTTTGTAAAGAAAAGACATTTGGGGTTTTTTGTTGTTTTTTTTTAAAGATTTATTTTATTTATTTGAAAGACAGTTACAGAGAGAGGTAGAGAAAGAGAGAGAGAGAGAGAGAGAGAGAGAGAGAGAGGTCTTCCATCCACTGGTTCACTCCCAAGATGGGCACAACGGCTGGAGCTGAGCCAATCCAACGCCAGGAGCCAGGAGCTTCTTCCAGGTCTCCCACGCGGGTGCAGGAGCGCAAGGACTTGGGCCATCTTCCACCGCTTTCCCAGGCCACAGCAGAGAGGTAGATTGGAAGAGGAGTAGCCAGGACTAGAACTGGCGCCCATATGGGATGCTAGTGTTTCAGGCCAGGGCTTCAACCAGCTGTGCCACAGCACAGCCCCAAGAAGACATTTGTTTTGACTCATGGTTCTGGATTTGCAAGGTGGAGAGGCTGCATCTGGTGAAGACCTTCCTGCAGCCAGACACCAAGGTGGCAAAGGACATCACATGGCAAGAGACAGGGACGCGTCTGTGTCTGTCTGGTCCCCCTCCCTCTTCTTGTAAAGCCACTGCGATTCAAGCAGCTCCACCTGATGACCATACAATCATTTTTTAAAGATTAATTTATTTGAAATGCCAAGTCACAGAAAGACAGAGGGAGAGAGAGAGAGACAGAGAGAGAGAGAAAGAGAGAGAGAGAGATCTTCATCTGCTGGTTTACTCCTCAGTTGCGTGCAACAGCTGGAGCTGTGCCAGTCCAAAGCCAGGAGCCAGGAGCTTCTGCCCGGTCTCCCACACAGGTGCAGGGGCCCAAGGATGTGGGCCATCTTCCACTGTTTTCCCAGGCCATGGCAGAGAGCTGGAGTGGAAGTAGAGCAGCTGGGATGTGAACTGGTGCCCATATGGGATGTTGGCACTGCAGGTGGTGGCTTTACCCACTACGCCACAGTGCTGGCCTGACCATATAATCCTAATCACTCCCCAAAGTCCCTTGCCTCTAAACACTGTGATTGGGTTAAGTCTCCATCCTCCCATCCAAGTACTAACCAGGCCCAACCCTGCTTAGCTTCCGAGGTCAGGTGAGATCAGGTGCGTTCCGGGTGGTGTGGCTGATTTACAAATTGTATACTTTAAATGTGTGTACAGTAGTTTATTACATATCCATTACATCACAATAAACCTGTAGGAAAAAACGCCTGTAGGTGTTGTTTTAGCCACTGACTACTCGCACAAAAGCTCAGGGCAAGCTTCGACGGGACAGGCGTGATGCCACAGCCGCTGCTGCTAAAGGGCAGAGCAGCCAGGGCTGTGGCCCCGCCCACTCGGGGGTCCCTCAGCGCCCCAGAGCGTCTCCCTAGGGCTGCACAGAAGCCAGTTTGAAGAACGCTCACCCGGAGCTCTCTGAAGGCCCTCCCAGCTGTGAGCACTCCCGGAGCGAGGCTCTCCGGGGCTGGGGCTGGTCCCTACCCTTCGGCACGGCGTGGCTGCTACGCACAGCTACTCTCTGGTCTGCTAGCCACAGGACGAATGCCAGCTCACCGCTGATCCCCTCCCCAGCGTGGCGTGGGCCCGCCAAGGGCCACGTAGCACACCTTCACCGGGGCTCCAGCTGCTCCCCCACCAGCACCCCGGCTCTCACCCACTGCGGTGCCTTTGTTTTGTGTTATCTGCCCATCCAGCTCCCATAACTCCCTGAAGCAGGATGACCGTCTGGCACCCGGGGGCCGCAGGGCCCAGCAGTGGGTGTGGCTCAAGCCAGGCCCTCCACTCATGTTGACTGAGGGGGTGGTCTCAGCTCAGCCCTTCCTGGAGAGTCCTGACTGGGGTCCACAGTCTCCCCCCACCCTCCCCCACTCCATCCATTGTAGCCACTGCCAGGCTGGCCCCCAGCAGCGTCTGTGCGCTGGCAGCGCCTCCTGAGAATTCTCTCTCCCCGGAGTCAGCCTCACCTTCCTGGGGAGAACCACCTGCCCACAAGTAGCTTCCTCCTGTCCATCACGTCCCCTTTGCTGTTCTTTCCTATTTATTTGAAAGACAGAATGACTGAGAGGGAGAGACAGAGACAGAGACAGATCTTCCATCCACTGGCTCACTCCCCAAATGACCACAACAGCCAACACTGGGCCAGGCGGAGGCCAGGAGTCAGAAACTCCATCCAGGTCTCCCACGTGGGTGCGGGGCCCAAGTACTTGAGTCATCCTCAGCTGTCTTCCCAGGCGCATTAGCAGGGAGCTGGAGTGGAAGCAGGGTAGCCAGGGCTTGAGCCAGCGCTCGGTTATGGGATGCCAGCGTCCCAGGCAGCAGCTTCAGCCACCGCACCACAACTCCCATCCACTGCCTTTACGTTGTCTCCACAGTGCTATCACCTGGCTTGCAGGGAGTCCCCTCTGCACCCCACACCGCGAGGAATTGAAGCCCCATCTGTGTCCGGGACGGGACGGGGCGGGGGGGCAGGAAGACATTTCCTTCCTGCTCATTCGGAACAAGGCATAATCAGTCTTGTTGGCAGTAAGAGGGGTTCAGGGTGAACAACGAGGGTGCCTCTGCCCTCCCAGTTGCTGGACCAGTGAGCACGCTGTCATCATGGTCTGTCTTCCCTCTGTGTGGATCAACCACGTCTGGTTCTGTGTACCCAGCGTGGGGTACTGAGGCTGGCCCAATGATGAATGAATGACTAGTGAGAATGAATGGAAGAATGGTGTAAACTGATCCATTCATTCAACAAATGTTTTTTTAAAATCTTGGATTCTTTACATTGTTTCAATTCTTATTTTCATTTTCTTTTAAAGGCAGAGAGAGATCTTCTATCCACTGATTCCCTCTCCAAATGCCTGCCACAGCCAAGACTGGGCCAGGGTCTCCCAGGTGGGTGGCAGGGACCCAAGTACTTGAGCCGTCACCTGCTGCCTGCCAGGGTGCACATTAGCTAGAGGCCTGCCTGGACTCAAGCCAGACACTGGAACCAAGCGCTGCAACACCCATCCAGGCCTCCCAAGTGGCCTCTCAACTGCTCTAGACACCCTGCCCAGGAAGTAATTATTGAGCAACTACTATGTGTCAGCTACTTGTAAATGCTGCACACATACAGTAACAAACCTCTGACCCCCGTATCCATCCTCTGCTGGAGAGACAGACGGTGTAGAACTGTAATGCCTGGGAGGAGTAAAGGAGACGCAGCCCTGGGGCACCGGGCAAGCCAGGCCCTGACCGCTCTGCAGCCCGGCCTTGTCGCAGCAGGGAACCATGGGAAAGGAGGTAGTAACATCTCCCTGCCAAGAACAGGCAAGCTCACCACACCCTGTGGAAACGGTGACCTCCACCTCGGTACCTCTCCCATGCGACGGGGCCTTTCCCCGGATTTCGGGGTCTTGGGGAAGTGACACCAACGTGAGCTGTGGCTACCAATCGTACACTGTAAATAAAGCGGGCAAGCTCTTTGTTTCTTGGAGCTTCGTGTCTTCTGCCGTGAACCGTCCAGGAACAGTCCAAGGCTTGTTTACTAGGTTATGAGTGGGGTGAACATTTCAGAGACTTGCAGTTCTTTAAAAAGAGAGATGGGGGGGTGCTGGCACTGTGGCACAGCGGGTTAAAGCCCAGCCTGTAGCGCCAGCATCCCATATGGGCGCCGGTTCTAGTCCTGGCTGCTCCACTTCTGATCCAGCTCCTTGCTAATGGCCTGGGAAAGCAGCAGAAGATGGCTCAAGTGCTTGGGCCCCTGCACCCAGGTGGGAGACCCAGAAGAAGCTCCTGGCTCCTGGCTTTGGATCAGGGCAGCTCCGGAGGTTGTGGCCATCCAGAGAGTGAACCAGAGGATGGAAGACCTTTCTCTCTGTCTCTACCTCTCTCTGTAATTCTGTCTTTCAAATAAATAAAATAAATCTTAAAAGAGAGAGCAAGCGAGCGAGTGAGAGAGAGAGATTACTTGTTGGAAAGACAAAGTTACAAAGAGAAAAAAGGAGAGACAGAGACAGGGAGAGATTTTCTATCTGCTGGTTCACTCCCCAAATGACTTCAGTGGCTGGGGCCAGCCAGATTCTTCCCATTAGCAGAGAGCTGGATCAGATGTGAAGCAAGGGCCTACGCTGTGGATCAGTGGGTTAACGTCCTGGCCTGAAGCGCCAACATCCCATATGGGCGCCGGTTCAAGACCTGGCTGCTCCACTTGCGATCCAGCTCTCTGCTATGACTGGGAAAGCAGTAGAGATGGCCTAAGTCCTCGGCCCCCTGCACCGCGTGAGAGACCCCGAGGAAGCTCCTGGCTCCTGGCTCCTGGCTTCGAATTGGCACAGCTCCGGCCAGTTGCAGTCAATTGAGGAGTGAACCAACAGATGGAAGACCTCTCTCTCTCTCTCTGTATGTGTGTGTGTATGTCTGTGTAGCTCTGATTCTAAATAAATAAATAAATCTTTAAAAAACATTTGAAGTAGAGATCGGTGCTCTGGAGAAAACAGGGCAGGAACACAAAAGAGGAGACAGGGTGTGTGCGGGATGTCGGCTATTTTACTAGGATTGTTGAGAGGGGCCCCTCTGGGGCAGGTGTGTGGCCTGGTGGTTAGGATATCGGATGTGCCTGGGTTCAGGGCCCAGCCCCGGCTCCTGACTCTAGCTTCCTGCCTTTGCAAACCCCGGGAGGCAGTGGTGATGACGCAGGTAACTGAGACCTGGGTGGGAGACCTGGGTTGAGTTCCCAAGTCCCAGTTGCAGCCCCAACCCAGCCTGGGCCCAGTGAACCAATGGATGAAAACTTTCTCTGTCTCTGTGCCTCTCAAAAAAAAAATGCTTTTAAAAAGAAAGGGCCAGGGCCAGCGCAGTGGTGTAGTGGGTAAAGCTGCCGCCTGCAGTGCCAGCACCCCACGTGGATGCCAATTCGAGTCCCGGCTGCTCCACTTCCTGTCCAGCTCTCTGCTGTGGCCTGGGAAAGTAGCAGAAGATGGCCCAAGTCCTGCACCCATGTGGGAGACCTGGAAGAAGCTCCTGGCTCCTGGCTTCAGCTTGGCCCAGCTCTGGCCCTTAGGGCCATATGGGGAGTGAACCAGCTGATGGAAGACCTCTCTCTCTCTCTGCCTCTGCTTCTCTGTAACCCTGCCTTTCAAATAAAATGAATGGAAGGGAGGAAGGGAGGAAGGGAGGAAGGGAGGAAGGGAGGAAGGAAGGAAAGAAGGAAGGAAGGAAAGAAGGAAGGAAGGAAGGAAGAAGGAGGAAAGAGGAAGGGAGGAAGGAGGAAGGAAGGAAAAGAGGGAAGGAAGGGCCCTCTGGCAGGGCAACACTGGAGCAGAAACTTGAGTAGCATAAATGCGCCAGGGAGACAGCGGGGGCAGAGGGCAGGACGCTGGGATGTTGAGGAGCAGCTGAGATGGGAGCCGCGGGTGGGCTTCAATCAGGGAAGTGGTCTGCTCTGGTCTCCCTTTGGAGAGGCTGGCTCTGGTTGGCCTGCGGAGCAGCCCCTGCTGCCCGGACAGTTAGAAGGGGCTGCAGTGGCCCAGGTGACAGAGGATGGCGGCTTGGTCCTTGCGGCCATTCAGCTTCTGGCTGTATTTTTTTTTTTTAAGATTTATTTGAGGGGCCGGCGCCGTGGCGCACTTGGTTAATCCTCCACCTGCGATGCTGGCATCCCATATGGGTGCCGGGTTCTAGTCCCGGTTGCTCCTCTTCCAGTCCAGCTCTCTGCTGTGGCCCGGGAGTGCGGTGGAGGATGGCCCAAGTGCTTGGGCCCTGCACCCCATGGGAGACCAGGAGGAAGCACCTGGCTCCTGGCTTCAGATCGGTGCAGCACCGGCTGTAGCAGCCATTTGGGGGGTGAACCAACAGAAGGAAGACCTTTCTCTCTCTCTCCCTCACTGTCTATAACTCTGTCAAATAAAAAAAATTTTTTTTAAAGATTTACAGAGAGATCTTCCATCTGCTGATTCACTCCCAAGATGGCCGCAATGGCTAAAGCTGAGCTGATCAGAAGCCAGGAGCCAGGAGCTCCTTCTGGGTCTCCCACGCGGGTGCAGGGGCCCAGGGACTTGGGCCATCTTCTACTGCTTTCCCAGGCCTTAGCAGAGAGCTGGATCAGAAGTGGAGCAGCCGAGACTCAAACTGGCGCCCATATGAGATGCCGGCGCTTCAGGCCAGGGTTTTAACGACGCCACAGCGTCAGTCCTTCTGACTGTATTTCAAGAGAACCAATAGGCTTGCTTACGGAACGGACATGGGGTGTAAAGAATGACCCCAAGATTTCGTTCTGATTAGCTGCAAGGATGGAGTCAGCTGAGGTGGGGAACTCCTAAGAGGGGCAGGTCGGAAAGGAAGCTAGAGTACTGTAAGCAAGCATGAATGAACGGCAGTGAAGGGCTCCATCACCGAACGCCCTTTCTCTGAAGAGCGGGACCTGTCCAGCACGGTGGGTGCCTGTAGCCCCGCTGGACCTCTGCTCAGACTAAGAGGTGGCGGTTCCTTTAAGAGGGTACCGCCCAGTCGGCGAAGCCCCGCCCAAGGAGGACCACGTGCCCTCTGCCGCGCAGGAGGGGCGGGACCCGGGGCAGTTTGAAAGTCGGGCGCGCACCGAAGGGCGGCGGTTCGGCAGCGGCTGGGATGTCGGTGTTAAGGCCGCTAGACAAGCTGCCCGGCCTGAACACGGCCACCGTCTTGGTAGGTGCCGGCGGCTCCGTTCTCCCCGGCCTGCGCCTCTGCCGCCCGGTCGCGGGGCTCCCTGGGGTGCCTGAGGGAGCCGTTCCGGCGGGAGCGGCGTAGGCGGGAGAGCCACGCTCTGAGCCAATCAGAGGGGCGGCTGTCCGCGACGGAGGGACGCGCCCGCCAATCGTGCGCGGGCTGCCTCCGTCCCGGCTTCTAATTGGTGGGCGGGGAAAACCAGAACTTGGCTTTCCCGCGACTCGGGGTCCGGCGCTCCCAGCCGGGCGGTGGGCGTGGGGGTCCGGAGGCGCTGGGCGAGCGGTGCTGCCTGGGGGCTGCGCTCCTCCGTGCTCCCCCGGGGCCCTGGGGGCGTGGCGCCCGCCGAGCTCTCCTGGAGGGGCCCGCGGCGCCCGGGGCTCAGCGGGGCGCCTTCTGTTCCGGCAGCTGGTGGGCGCGGACGATGCTCTTCTGCAGCGGCTGGCCGACTCCATGCTCAAGACGGACTGCGCCTCGGAGCTGCGGGTGTAAGTAGCCGGGCTGCGGGTGGGGACGGGGCGCAGCCCGGCTCGGCTCTGCGGGGTCGCCCGCTGGCGTGGGGCACAGGTTCGGGTCCCCAGCTCCCTGCTAATGTAGCTCCCGGCGGTGGGGCCCCTGGCACCCACGTGGTGACCCAGATGGAGTTCCTGGCTCCTGGCTTCCAGCCTCTGTCTTTTTGGGCTTTTGGCAAGTGACCCAGTGGGAGGGGAATCTTTCTCTGTGTCTCTGCATTTTTTTTAATTTGAGAACTACATCAGCTGTCCGCCTCCTTTTTTCCAGTTTGCCGCTTCCCTGGGCAGTGCGCCCCTCTGAGCGGAGCTAGCAGAGTGACGCGGTTAGCGGTCGGATTCGTGCGGTGGGCTGGAGACTTAGGGAGGCCCTGGGGGAGAGGGGTGGTAGAGGTTTCGGCGTAGCAAGAACGGAAGGCAGGAATTCCCCCGGGAAACCTGGTGAGGCGGAGCTGAGCTACAGTTTCCGTCCTCCCACGCTCGTGAGATGAGTTGGGGAAATGCGAAAATCAGCCAGCCGGACTGACAGCAAAAAATTCTGGCGTGGTTTCCTGCCAAGCCTGTTCCTACAACAGAACCTGAGGATTCTTCAGGACCCCCGAATGGGGGGGAGAACTGGAGAAGTGTGTTTTGTTTTCCTTTCTAACTGGTAGGAAGTAAGAACAGCGCTGCTTGGGTCAAGTGACTTCGTGCACACGGAAATCCGACTCATGGAAGATGTGCACCAAACTGCCCAAATGAGCAAAAACCATATGGAAAGAAATGTCATGGGGACCCCCCCCCCAAAAAAAAAAAGGCGAATCACATGGCATACAAAACCCGGTGAGGAACCGGTCTGGGGGCTGGCATGTGGCATAGTGGGTAAAGCTACCGCCTACATCGCCAACGGCCCATGTGGGCTCTGGTTCCAGTTCCGGCTGCACCATTTCCGATCCAGCTCCCTGCGGACGCGCCTGGGAGAGTAGTGGAAGATGGCCCAAGTCCTTGGCCCCTGCACCTGCATGGGAGACCTGGAAGAAGCTCCAGGCTTTGGGTCAGTGCAGCTGCAGCCATTTGGGGAGTGAACCAGCAGATAGAAGACCTCTCTCTCTCTCTCTCTCTGCCCCTCTCTCTGCCTCTCCGTAACTCTGCCTTTCAAATAAATGAATAAATCTTTTTTTAAAAAAACCCATTCTGAAAAAAGATACAGAAAAGGGGGAAGAAAGCTCCACTTTTAGTGCTCTATGCTACTGAGAAATTTAATAGACATGAATTAAAAAAAAAGGTTGAGGCCAGCATTGTGGTACACTAGGTTAAGTGGTCACCTTTGATACCAGCATCCCGTCTGGGCACTGGTTCAAGTCCTGGCTGCTCCACTTCTGATCCAGCTCCCTGCTGTGGCCTGGGAAAGCAGTGGAAGTGCTTGGCCTCCTGTATCCACGTGGGAGACCCGGAGGAAACTCCTGGCTTCCGATGGGTTCAACTCTGGTCATTGCAGCCATTTGAAGGGTGACCCATTGGATGGAAGACCTCTCTCCCTCTCTCTGTAGCTTTGCCTCTTAAGTAAATAAATAAATCTTTAAGAAAAAAGAAAAAGGTAAGGGGCTGGTGTTGTGGCTCAGCAGATCAGGCCACTAACCAACCACTAGGACTGGTCGAGTCCTGGCTTCTCTGCTTCCAGTCCAGCTTCCCGCTAATGCACCTGGGAAGACAGCAGATGCTTCACCAACTGCTTGGGCCCCTGCCACCCATGTGGGAAACCTGGATGGAGTTCTGGGTCCCTGGCTTCGGCCTGGGCCATTGCAGCCATTTGGGAAGTGAACCAGTGGATGGAAGATCTCTTTTTTTTTTGTAAAGATTTATTTATTTGAAAGGCAGAGTTATGGAGAGTGAGCGAAAGACCTTCCATCTGCTGGTTGACTCCCCAAATGGCTGCAACGGACAGAGCTAGGCCAGTCCAGAGCCAGGAGCCAGGAGCTTCTTCCAGATCTCCCATGTGGGTGCAAGCGCACGAGGACTTGGGCCATCTTCTGCTTTCCCAGGCCACAGCAGAGAGCTGGATTGGAAGTGGAGTAGCCAGGACTCGAACGGGTGCCCATATGGGATGCCAGCACTGCAGGCAGCGGCTTTACTTGCTACACCACAGTGCCAGCCCCAGATTTCTCTTTGTCTCTGCCTCTTTCTGTAACTCTGCCTTTCAGATAAATGTTTTTTTATTTGAATGGCAGAATTACAGAGACAGAGGTCTTCCAGCCGCTGGTTCACTCCCCAAATGGTCACAACAACTGGAGCTGGGCCAGTCAGGAGCCAGGAGCTTCTTCCAGGTCTCCCACGCAGGTGCAGGGGCTCAAGCACTTGGGCCACCTTCCGCTGCTTTCCCGGGTGGTATTAGCAGGGAGCTGGGTCGGAAATGGAGCAGCTGGAACTTGCCCAGATGGGATGCTGGCACTGCAGGTGGAGGCTTAACCTACTGCGCCACAGCACCAGCTCCAAATATTTAATTTTTTTTTCAAAGTTCAAAACCCACATGATAAAGAGAAAAGAGAAGATTGCAGAAATAAGAGTAAAAAAAGATAGCTGAAAATAATACCATTTAAGATCTATCTTACATGTGGGAACGGTAAAGACCAGAGCTGATGAGGTTGGAAACTTATTTACATAGACTAAAGATTTTTGGTGTTGGCATTGTGGCACAGCAGGTTAAACTGCTGCTTGTGATGTTGGCATCCCATACCAGAGAGATGGTTTGAGTCCCTGCTACTCTACTTCCCATCCAGCTTCCTGCTAATGCCCCTGGGAAGGCAGCAGAAGATGGCCCGAGTGCTTGGGCCCCTGCACCCACGTGGGAGACCAGGATGGAGTTCCTGGCTCCTGCCTTCAGCTTGGCCCAACCCTAGCTGTTGCAGACATTTGGGGCATGAACCGTAGATGGAAGATCTCTCTCTCCTTCCTCTCTAACACTCTGCCTTTCAAGTAATCTTAATTTAAAAAAAAAAAGATTTATTTATTTATTTGAAAGAGTCAGAGAGGTCTTCCACCCACTGGTTCTCTCTCTTAGTGGTCAGAACAACCAGGGCTGAGCCAGGAGCTTCATCTGGGTCTCCTTCATGGGTGGCAGGGGCCAAGCGCGTGGGCCGTCTTCCACTGCTTTTTCCAGGCCATTAGCAGGAAGCTGGACTGGAAGCGGAGCAAGCGAGACACAAACCTGTGCCCATATGGGATGCCGGTGTCACAGGCGGTGGCTTTAACCACTACACCACAGAGCCAGCCCCAAATAAATAATCTTTAGAAACAATCTGTTGTAAGTTAAAAAAATAGTTTACCCAAAGTTCATCTACTTTTTTCAGTTCTTCTTTAGTTAACTTGCTCAAATTAATACTGTTTTCCAGTTTTTAGATTACACCTATTGTCAAAATGTATAGGTGTTATGTATGTGTGTGTGTGTGTGTGTGTGTGTGTGTGTATATATATATATATATGGAGAGGTTTAGGGAAGTGTTCCAGGGGCCGGTGCTGAGGTTCAAGTCCCGGCTGCTCCACTTCTCATCTAGCTCCTTGCTGATGGCCTGGGAAGGCAGTGGAAGATGGCCCAGGTCCTTGGGCCCCTGCACCCACATGGGAGACCCGGAAGAAGCTCCTAGCTTTGAATGGGCCTAGCTCTGGCCATTGTGGCCACAGGGGAAGTGAACCAGCGGATAGAAGGCCTCTCTGTCTCTCTCTCTAACTCTGCCTCTCAAATAAATAAGTCTTAAAGAATAACATTATTAAAAAAAAAAATAGAGTCTTCTAAACTTAATAGTAACTTCCAGGTGATTGGACGCGGGTATGTGTGTGTTCGCAGCTTTGGTGTTTTTTGTACTTCTTGGTATTTCTTAAATTATAATCTGGGAGAAGAGGAGACAGAAAGGGACAGAAATAGATGCTTCAAGAAAAGCCTTCAGATGTGTGTGTGACAACCAGAGATGGAACCTGGATGCGAATGATCTACCCAGGGTCACATGGTTGGTAATTCACAGAACTGGGATTGAGCCTGTGAGACTTCCATCTCCCATAGGGTTTCAAGCTTAGCCCCCGAATGTCAGAGCCCATACCCTCTCTTCTCTTTTTTGTGTCTGTGAGATGATTTATTTTATTCGAAAGGCAGCGTTAAAGGGAAGGACAGAGACAGAGATTTCCATCCGCTGGTTCACTCCCCAAAAGGCCGCAGCAGTTGGACCTGGGCTGGTCCAAAGCCAGGAGCTTCTTCCAGGTCTCCCACGTGAGTGCAGGGGCCCAGGTACTTGGGCCATCTTCTTCTGCTTCCCCAGGCCATCAGCAGGGAGCTGGATAGGAAGTGGAGTGGCCAGGACTTAACTGGTGCTCAAATGGAAAGCCGGCACTGCCGGCAGAGGTTTAACCCAGGACGCTACACACCCTCTCTCCTGAGCCTGGTCTCCCTTTCTGGTGTGCAGCGTCGCTGGCACAGGTGACGTCTTGTTTCTAAACCTGCCTCCCGTAAGGGGGTTACTGAGAGCGCCCCTCCCTGGCAGAGGGGATCAGGAGTCATCAGGACAGGCGGCTCTGCCTGGAGGAGGCCTTGGCGGTGCCCCCTGCCCTGTGAGGCGGGCACGTGTGTGTGTGTGTGTGTGTGTGTGTGTGTGTGTAGAACTCTACTGTTTTGTTTTCCAGCCACCTTGCAAGGTCCCTCCCTCTGCCCTCCAACGTGAATCGGCCCCGGGTGGACCTGCTCGTATTTGTGATTAATCTTCACAGCAAATACAGGTGAGAGCCAGAGGACCCGGCGTGTCGGGGCTCCAGCAGACCTGGCTAGGTGCTTGCCAGGAGAGTGACCTCCCTTGTGATGGGGAGGAAGGAGGCTGGGAGGGGCCGCCTATGGGCGACCTGGAGGGTGAAGAGGGAAGAGCCAGTGGCCAGAGCAAGTGTTCAGATCCCACCAGCGGCATCCGTTTGTTCAGCTCTCTAGGGCCCATCTGTGCACCTGAAAGCAGGTGCAGGGATGAGCAGCAAGCCTCCTGTCCTCCATGTCCACTTGGGCAGGAAGCTGGACCTGCGCGCAGGTGGTTAGGGACCTGGGACACGTAGCATGAAGGCCCGACCAAGACCTCTGATGGCCAGGACCAGGGTGGGCCCAGGGTAAACTTTGTGGTGAAGGTCACATTCGATTCAAAACATCACGGGTGAGAAGGCGCCACAGGTACAGATGGGACTGAGTCCCTCCTGGGGGCCCGCTGAGGGGAGGCAGGGCTCAGGGTCCAGCTCTGGCCCACACAGATAGCTGGGCCTGCCGTGGGGCTAAGGGAAGGCAGTGAGGGGAATGGCGGGGAACCAGGGCCTTGGAGCCCCTGATTGGTGCAGCCTGCTGTGTAGCGGGAGCTAGTGGGCGGTGGGGCTGGCGGGGCCGGGAGGGGTGGCCCTGCCTCAGACCTGGTGCCCGTGGGTGAGCCTCTCTGTTCACTGAAAGGGCTCCACAGCAAGCGGCCTCCGCCGTTCCGGAAGCCGGCGGACTCCGTGTCAGTCCTGGATGCAGGGCTGAGAGGCCTGGCCGGGGGAAAGAGCGTTTGCAGGCAATCGACTAAATTGCTGTGACTGCAAAGGGAAGCGCTTTGGTGATACGCACCTGCGTTTTAGGAAGACACTTACTGTGACTGTGTTTATATGTGTGTGTATATATATATATATATATTTAAGATTTATTTGAAAGTCAGTCACAGAGAAGAGGAAGCAGAGAGAGAGAGAGAGATCTTCCATCTGCTGATTCACTTGCCAAATGGCCACAATAGCCAGGGCTGGGCCAGGCTAACGCCAGGAACCAGGAGCTCCCTCCAGGACTCCCATGTGGGTGCGGGGGCCCAAGGACTTGGGCCATCTTCCGCTGCTTTCCCAGGCCGTAGCAGGGAGCTGGATCAGAAGTCAAGCAGCCAGCCCTCAGACTGGCACCCATATGGGATGCCAGCTGTGCCTCAGCGCCGGCCCCAAGCCTGCTCTTCTGCTTCCAGGATCTGTCCTGTGGAATACTCGCTTGCATGTGCGAGGGTATGATTAAAAGAATGTCTGTGCTGCATTCTTTGTAATAGTCGCTGGGGACAGCGACTGTGGCATGGCGTGGAGTCGTCCTGAGGAGTGTAGCAGGTTCCTGTGTTCTGGAATGGAGTTTGGCGAAATGTGGGCCAGCGAGCTCCTTCCACGTAGCACTGCCCGTTTGCAGATAGAAGAATTCCAGAATCACACCCAGACTATTGGCAGCAGCGACCTCCAGGAGGACGCTGCTGAGAGACTTTTACTTTTGGCATTTGCATCCGTGTTTGATTACCTTACAAGCATGACTCACTTTGTAATTAAAAGTAGCTTAAACCAGCTCACAGGAAAGCGTGTTCCTCCGGGGCCACTTCCTGTGACCCTGCTCGCACGCTGGCCACCGCGGGGCCGGAGGAGGGGAGCTCGCGCTTTCTGCATCACAAGGTTCTGTCCCCTGCTTGTTTTCTCGCCTGGCCGCCTCAGCCTGCAGAGCGTGGAGAAGTCCCTGCACCACGTGGACGCCAGCTTCTTCCTAGGGAAGGCGTGCTTCCTGGCCACAGGCGGTAAGTGCACTGCCCGCCCGGGGAGAGCCGTGGCTGGCGCGGGCTCCGTGCTTGGGTGGCCTGGTGGCGGAACGCAGGCCCGGGAGCCCCAGCTGCCATCGGTGTTTCTAAAAGTGGAACTGAGCAGGTAGCTCTGCTGTCGCTGAGCGTGACCTCGTGACCCCTGTGGCTTTCGGAGTAAGATCCAGACTCTAACGGCGCAGAGTGCATCTTGCAGTTTGGCCTCTGCCTTCGCGTCTGCTCTCACTTCCTGTGACTCGTTCTCTGGTCTGGAGACCACATGGTAGCCGTGGACATGACCACGGCTGACCTTTAGTGAGCCCTCATGGGTGCCACACATTCTTTGTAGCTGCTTGGCTTTTCCTGTTAGTCTTTGAGGTAGATGTTTATAGGAAGCTGAGGTTAAGTGACTTGCCCGAGGCCCACACCTACAAAAGGGCAGAGCTGAGATGGGCACGGGGCTCGTCCCCCAGGCCTCGTCCTCCCGATGATTCCTACCTGCTTCTCTCGGCTACTTTTTCCCCCTTCTTTGTCTGGCTGACCCCTCCAAGTCCCTCAAGTCCCAGCTGCAGTGTCCCCTCTGGCACTGGCGACGTCTGTCTGCCTCCCCAGCCTAGCTGGAGAGGACCCAACACGGTTTGTTCCCAGGAAGCATCGGCGAGTGAGTGCCGGGTAACTCCTAGGTGCCAGTGCGTTGGCTCTGTGTAACCCAGGGGGCTAGGAGTTCCTGCCCTCCTCGTTTTATAGAACTGAGAGCACTCTGAAAGCCGTCAGCCTCCTTGTGTGACGTGATGAGCTTTACCGCCCAGACGAGGTGACATGGGATTGTCACTGCACTGACTGTAAGCCTGAGGCCTGGGTGGGCGGGAAGTGAATTGCTGGCCCAGTGCTTCCTGGGGCGCGGCCCTCAGGGCGGCGATTGCAGCCTGTGGCTGTCGGCTTCCTTGCAGCTGGGCGGGAGAACCTCTGCAGCGTTCATCGGAACACCATCGTGAGGCTGGCCCGCACCTACCGGAGCCCCGTGCTGTTCTGTGACCTGGAGGTGAGAACGCCGATCGCTTGGCCGGTGTCGCACTCGCGTAAGAGTACGGCGGGCACACAGGAATGCTTGCCGAGGGGTGGGCGTCGGCGTAGTGGCTAAGCTGCCGCAGAGTGCCTGGGCTGGAGTCCTGGCTCTGCTTGCCACTGCAGCCGCCCGCTGATGCTTCTCAGAAAACACACGGTGGCTCAAGTAGTTGGATCCCTGCGGCCCACGCGGGAGATGCACGTGCAGTTCCTGACTGCCGGCTGTGGCCTGGCGCAGCCACAGCTGGGCAGGTGGGGAGTGAAACCGGGGCATGGGAGATCTTTCGCTGTCTCTCTCTGCCTTTTAGACAGACAGACAGACAGACGGGTAGATGATTGCTCATTGAAGAGCCACTGAGTGCCCAGGAAAGGTGGCTGCTGACGTGAAGGGAGGCTTGAGATCTGGCTTGAATCCTGGCTTTTCTGCCCCGGCTGTGACCTTGGGCTGCAGAAGGGAGGGTGTGCACTCACCCTGAGTGCATCTCAGGTGCCCATGGGAGCAGTCATCCTGACCTGGTGCAGGGCACCCAGCAGGTGTAGATGTCTGGGGGTGGGTGAGTAGATGGTTGCGTGGGTGCATGTTGTGTGGGTCTGCCCTGACCACTTCTGCTGGTTTCTCGCACGGCGAGCCGTGACTAGAGGGCAGCTGGTGAGCTTTGCTCTTCGGCTCTCGCTGACTTCTCACTGGGAGTCCTCGGCAGGAGTGGAGGTGCTTGCCCAGGGAGGCCCACAGTGTGGACCCTGTGGGGCTCCCAGGGCCTGAGCTGCCCCACCTAAGCCCCAGGCCTGTTCAGTTGCCTCGAGGATCTGTTTATTGGTTTCATCTTTAAAGTTTATATTTCTGTTCCGGGTCTGGCAAAGCAGTACCATGCAGAGGACTGAGGACAGGGTCCTCCCCACAGCGGGCACCAGGCCGCTTCTGGGGGCAGAGTTCAGGGGATTCGTGAACAGCTGCTGCTTGTTTTCTAGAAACCTCCCAGTGAAACCGAGCAGTGTACGTGTGAGCAGGAGGTATCGGTCGTGTCGGCAGCCAGTCGCCCGCAGGAGTGGCACCGTTTGCACATCGCATTCGGATTGGGCGCGAAAGGCCTGCACCGGGGCGGCCTCAGATCAGACGCACCTGCTGCTCTCACGGGTGGTTCTGTGTTTGATGACTGTCGTAGCATCCCTGACGGGACCAGCGCACAGTCCTTGTCAGGCGACCTGAGGCCGGGCACACCCGGAGCGCCTGCCCTGCCAGGCCCTCCTCACGGGGAGCCTCTGAGGGAAGTGACCTCACAGAGAAGAGGCGGCTGGCCCCCGTCACCCGGCTAGTAAGCAAACAGCCACCAGGCCGGTGTGGGGCTCCCTGCCGTCGCAGTCTGGACCGTGGCCGTGAGCAGGTCACCTCGCCGCAGTGTTCTCGTCCGAAGGAGCATTGTAGTCTTTGCTGTGTAGCTCAAGTGTGCCTGGGTGCCAGGGCCCGGGCCACCCGGGTGACAGGTGGTGCAGTTCTGCGGGTGGCCATGAGGTGGCAGGCCGCACCGCGCCCTGGTTCTCTTCCAGCCTGTGGCCACCTGCTTGAAGCTGGAGCCCACAGGGGCTGCAGAAACAGCCGCTCGGAGCCCTCCCGTGAAGCCCCCCACCCCTACGTCCTCATCCCTCGCCCCGCGTTGTCCTTTTCAGGGCCTATTCCACGTGGTCGAGTGAGAGCCTCGCCGTATTTTGAGTCGTGTGTGTGTGGCTGGAGTTTAGCGGATGGGGAACATGTGGCCCGCGCAGTGACGCGGTTGCCGGGTCCTGCTGCCGGAACCCCGTGCTGGCCCCTGGGAATGCACGTGAGGCAGAGGGCAGCACCACCTCTGGGAATCCGCCGAGACAGATTCCTGGCCTGCGAGTTGGACCACCACGTGCGACACCCCATCCCTCGTCAGGACGCCGGTTTGAGTCCCGGCTGCTCCATTTCCAGTGCTGGTGTTGCTAGCGTGCCTGGGAGGCAGCGGACCGTGGCTCAGCTACTGGGTCCCTGCAACCCATGTGGGAGACCAGATGGAGTTCCTGGCTCCTGGCTTCCACGAGGCTTTGTCCTACCTGATGCAGCCGTCTGGGGAGTGAACCAACTGAGAGAAAATCTCTCTCTTGCTCGTCTCTCTCTGTCTCTGACTTTCAAATCCTAAAAAAATAGAGTCTAGGCCGGCGCCACGGCTCACTAGGCTAATCCTCTGCCTAGCGGCGCCGGCACACTGGGTTCTAGTCCCAGTCGGGGCGCTGGATTCTGTCCCGGTTGCCCCTCTTCCAGGCCAGCTCTCTGCTGTGGCCAGGGAGTGCAGTGGAGGATGGCCCAAGTGCTTGGGCCCTGCACCCCATGGGAGACCAGGAGAAGCACCTGGCTCCTGCCTTCGGATTAGCAAGGTGCGCCGGCCGTGGCGGCCATTGGAGGGTGAACCAACAGCAAAGGAAGACCTTTCTCTCTGTCTCTCACTGTCCACTCTGCCTGTCCAAAAAAAAAAAAAAAAAAAAAAGAAAAGAAAAAAAATAGAGTCTAGTGGGACAGGTGTACTCTGATAGGCACAGCAGCAGCGAGCCTGGTGGGGCGGTGGAACCCTGGCGGCGGAGTGATTGAGTCCTTCCTGACCTTGCAGCAGGGTCGTGGTGGGCCCATCGCGAGGGGGACACGTGAGAGGCGGGAGGCAGTGTGCAGCCCGAGCGGGAGCAGCAGCCCCTGGGAGATCAGTGTCAAGCCAAAGCCAGGGAGCCTAGAGTGAGATGTGCTGAACAGGGAGTTCTTGTGCATCCCCAGTGTGCGTGCCAAGCACCACTCCAGGCGCCAGGGACCCAGTGTAGACAAAACCACAGACGTTCCATCTCCGTTCCAGTGGAAACCAGCAGGTGAAGAAGTAGAGTACATAGGAGGAGAGAAAATGGGGCTGGGACGTGTCGGGTGGCGGTAAAGGGGCGAGACTCGCCACCAGCAGGACTTTCTGGTAGACCTGAGGGAGCGGAGAGCAGGCCGGGTGCCCTGTGGGTCAGTGCGGGTCAGTGGAAGAGCACACTTGGCAGCAGAAGCCGCAAGCAGGGTCCACGCGTGGAAACGTGCCCGTGTGTTCCGGGGTGGCAGGCAGGTCTGGTGGGCTGAGCTCAGCGAGCAGAAGGCAGAGCAGGGAAAGTCTGTGGCTGGGGGCGGCGGTAGGACCTTGTGGGTCTCTGCAGAGGCTGTGACTTCGACTCAGGAAAACTGGAGCCACTGGAGAGCCTGCGCCCACGGAGGAACGTGGCTTTTCAGTGGCTGCTCGGAGGCCAGCGCAGAGAGGAGGAGGGTGCGCAGAGAGGAGGAGGGTGCGCGGAGAGGAGGAGGGTGCGCGGAGAGGAGGAGGGTGCGCAGAGAGGAGGAGGGTGCGCGGAGAGGAGGAGGGTGCGGAGGCTCTCCCTGGAAGATGAGTGGCCTGGGCTCGGTGTGGCCCGCGGGCAGGGAGACAGGTGGTGGCAGCACTGGCTGTATCCAGGGTGGGGCTGACAGGACGTACCAGGGGCCCGGATGGACGTGAGAGAAGAGTCGGGGCAAGGCTGAGCTTCCTGGCCTGAGTGGAAGGTGGGTTTGCCTTTGGCAGAGATGCGGAAGGGCAGGAGGAACAGGTTTTGGGGGTCCCCAGGGCTCTGTTGTGGACACCCTCAGACTATGGTGTGTGTGAGTCACCTAAGGGGAAAATCCAGTGGCAGCTGCATCCATGCGTCTGCCGTTCGGAGGCAAGGTTTGGAGATGTGATTGGGTGTCATCAGCAATTAGATGAATGTAAAGCTGTGGAACTGAATGAGGTCACCTCAGTGTGGGAGAAGAGATCCGAGGACCAAGCCCCGGAGAAGAGGGGCCTGGGTGAGCCGGGGGAACGCGTGCCAAGGGCTGGGTTGTAGGCTCAGCAGCTGGGACCCACTGGGGATGCCCACGTCCAGCATCGGGACACCTGAGTGAGTCCTGCCTCTTCCTGCTGCTCCACACCCTGGGAGGCTCGAGTACTGGGGTCCCTGCCACCCTCGTGGGAGATCCGGTGGAACTCCAGCTCCTGGCTTCCTGGGCCCAGCTCTGGCGGTTGCAGGCATTTGTGGAGTGAGCCAGTGGAAGGAGATCTCTATCTCTCTCTTTTTTTTAATTCTTTCTTTCTTTCTTTCTTTCTTTCCTTCCTCCTCTCCTCTCCTCTCCTCTCCTCTCCTCTCCTCTCCTCTCCTCTCCCCTCCCCTCCCCTCCCCTCCCCTCCCCTCCCCTCCCCTCCCCTCCCCTCCCCTCTCCTCTCCTTCTTTCCTACAGGTAGAGTTATAGACAGTGAGAGAGAGACAGAGAGAAAAGTCTTCCTTCCGTTGGTTCACCCCCCCAGATGGCCGCTATGGCTGGCACCGTGCTGATCCGAAGCCAGGAGCCAGGTGCTTCTCCTGGTCTCCCATGGGGTGCAGGGCCCAAGCACTTGGGCCATCCTCCACTGCACTCCCGGGCCACAGCAGAGAGCTGGCCTGGAAGAGGAGCAACCGGGACTAGAACCCGGGGCCCATATGGGATGGCGGCGCTGCAGGCGGAGGACCAACCAGTTGAGCCACGGCGCAGGCCCCGGAGATTGCTATCTCAATCTCTCTCTCCCTTTCAAAACAAACCAAAAAAAGGTCAATAAAATTTTTTTTAATGCCAGGGAGCGCGAGCAGGCTGCCAGATCTGCCAGCCGCACTGGCACAGGAGCACCGAAAAGCCACTCGTGCGTTTCTTAGTGATGAACCCACGGGTGACGGTGGCGGGAGAAGGGTAGGGGGCGTTGAGGACGTCCCAGCCTTGGATTCGAGTGCGCCATGCCTCCCAGCTAGAGAAGGCACGGGGTGGGGCGGGCAAGGCCAGGGGAGACACCGGACTTGACGGACTTGAGTGTTTGTTCTTCCAGCATGTTTACGGCCTCTCACTTGCTCAGCGCCAGTCAGTGCCAGCGCCTCAAACAGTCTCGTTGCCCTCCCTCACCCCACAGCTGCTCTCTGCCCACCAGCCCTTCCAAGCCCCTGAGGAGGGGACTCCTTATCCACACTGAGGGACACTGTCCACCCCACTTTTCCATCCCCGTGCGTGTCTCAGTCCCAGACAAGTGAGCCTTCGGGGCGCAGGCTGCCTGGGCATTGGCTGGACTGACCCAGCTCCCGTGCCGGCTGTGCAGTCGCTGACTGTGGCCCTGGCCAGTGCACGTGACCTCTGCAGCCTTGCTCGCTAAGCCTTGGTGTCCACTTGAGCGGGAGTCCCAGGCTGAGGTATCCCTGGAGGTTATTTGAAGAACAGGGTAGGCTAAGGGGAGGGAAGCTGCTTTGCGGGGTGCGGCACGAGCGAGGTCGTGGCCGTGCTGGGGCCTTGGTGCCCTGAGCTGCCCCTAAGCGCTGGCCCCAGCTCTGCCCCTGGCAGCCGCGGGAAAGGGCCGGCCGCCCCATCCTGTCTCACGCCCTCCTCTGTTCTTCCCTGCAGGTGGAAGGCTCCCGAGCCGCCATGGCGCAGCGCCTGGCACGCATGCTGCAGATCTCTGCTGGCCACGTGCCCGGCGTCTCGGCCATGAGCCTGCTGTCCCTGCTCAGGAGCTCCGAGAGCCCCTCCCTGGAAGACCTGTGAGGGCCTCTGGGCCTGGGGCTGCCCCCCACCCTCAACAGCCTAATGCCAGCTCCGGGAACAGTCGTGGTTGGGGAAGAGGGTCCTGCCTGGGCCACGGTGAGCTGGGCAGGCACAGAGAGGGCCCAGCTGCTGATCGGCCCCACTCCCGCGCTCCCCCAGCAGAGCCTGGGTCTCATTGTCTGACATGATGCGTCTTCACTGAAGAGTCTGTTTGAACAAAGCGTCCGTGGCCAAAACCAGTCTGAAACCCACGGGTGTCACCCAGCACCGTGCCTTTACCGGTGAGGAGCTCAGCCCCGCCCTGCAGAGTCTGCTGGTGGCCTCCTCGGTGTGAATGGAGATGGCTCTGCTCACTTCGTGACGTGGGACATTCTTGGATTTTTGAACTTTTTAAAATTTATTTTGAGAGACAGAAAGCGTGAGCTCCCATCTGCTGGTCAACTTCCCAGATGCCCACAGTGGCCTGGCCAGGTCAGAGCCAGGGATTCATCCAGGTCTGCCCTGTGAGTGGCAGGAACCTAATAAGTGGGGTCAGAGGCCAGAGCCAGGTGTTAAACCCAGGTTAAACTGATCTGGGACGCAGGCGACTGAACCGGCGTCCTAACCTCTGCACTAAACGCCCGCCTCTCGCCGCAGATTGCGTGAAGTGAGGGTGAAGTGAGACGATGACACCCCAGCTTGCTGGATGATATGTTTTGTCATGCACCGTGTTAACAATGTCCTGTGCTGTGCCAGCCAAGCAATCAGTGGATAGTAGCTATTATGTGAGATGATGCAAAGCTCGGTTCAAAACAGGAGCAAATCGGGAGTTACACCACTGGCTTCAGGAGTTTGTGCAGAGACAAGGATTGGCGGCCACTGCCTGCCTTCTCCTGGGCGTCTTTGGGAATTTTTTTTTTAAGATTTTATTTATTTATTTGAGAGACAGTTACAAACAGAGAGAGGGAGAGATAAAGAGATCCTTTTTTTTTTTTTTTTAAGATTTATTTATTTATGGGGCCGGTGCCATGGCTTACTAGATTAATCCTCCGCCTGTGGCGCCAGCATCCCATATGGGCGCCAGTTCTGTCCCAGTTGCTCCTCTTCCAGGCCAGCTCTCTGCTGTGGCCCGGGAGTGCAGTGGAGGATGGCCCAAGTGCTTGGGCCCTGCACCCCATGGGAGACCAGGAGAAGCACCTGGCTCCTGGCTTCGGATCGGCGCAGCTCCAGCCATAGCTGCTATTTGGGGAGTAAACTAATGGAAGGAAGACCTTTCTCTCTCTTTCTCTCTCACTGTCTATAACTCTACCTGTCAAATAAATAAATAAATCTTTTTCTTTATTTATTTGAAAGGCAGAGTTACAGAGAGAGAGAGGTCTTCCATCTACTGGTTCACTCCCCAGATGGCCACAATGGCTGGAGCTGGGCCAATCCAAAGCCAGAAGCCAGGAGCTTCCTCCGGGTCTCCCACTTGGGTGCAGGGGCCCAAGGACTTGGGCAACCTTTTACTCCTTTCCCAGGCCATTAACAGGGGGCTGGGTTACAAACCAGCACCCATATGGGATGCTGGTCTTCAAACGAAGCTTAGCCTACGTCAAATCGCCATGCCCACCCCTCACCACTCCCCCTGGTCTCTGGGAATTTGTAGAACTGCTGGGATTGGATTCTAAAATCCCATCAGCCACGTCAGGGCTCCTGCTGCTGCAGGGCAAGGGGTTTGGCACTGGGAGCTCAGGGCAGGAGGTTCTGGTGGGAGACATCGCAGGGCAGGGCCAGAGTTGAGAGCTGGGCCCTGGCTCTCCCCGGCCTCAGACCTCAGGACATTCCCTGCTTTGTCGCCTGGCCAGCGCGGGCACCACAGGACCTCTCCTGTGACGGCTCCATCACAGCCAGGCTCAGGCGCACGCCCTTCCCTGGAGGACGGGCTGACTTGGGATTCTTGGCGCTGTGCGAGCAGGGCCCTGCTGGCCTCCCATCTGAGGCTGCCTCCCAGAGCCCAGCCAGGGTCCCAGCATGCTCAGTAAGGGTTCAGAGGCACCAGGCGACCTCAGGCCCGCTGACAGGCTGTGTAGACTGTTTGAGGCCCGCGTGTCGGCCGCCATCTGTGGGCACGTCACGCCTCACAGAGCTCTTCCCACACAACAGACGGGTGTTTCCTCATTTCACGGTCCAGGAGGCCGAGACCACTGTGGCGGGGGCGTGGCCGCTGTCACACAGCCCTTGCCCTCGCCTGTGTTCCTGTGTGTCTGGGTGCTGAACAGAGGTTGGGGCATCTCCGCTGGCTGTCAGAGAAAGCTGCAGCTTTTGGCACATGGGAGAAGGGGCCGCCCCAGTGTGGGGCTTGGGCAGCCGCAGGCCAGGGACAAGGAACTCCCCGGGTCACAAGTGTCTGCTGAAAGGGGGTGGGGGTGAAGGTGTGCGTTGGCCCCAGAGGCACAGGCAGTATGAGCAGAGGCCCCGAGGCCTGGCCTCAGAGGGCCCAGGGCTCCTAGGAACCAGCACTGCACCCGCCTTTCAGGGTCCCAGGCTGTAAGGGGTGTGGGGGTGGGGAGGTCTCGGGGAGCTGCATCCTGAGCAGGGACAGGCAGTGTGGACACTGTGCCACCTCTGGGACCTGTCACAAGGAGCCCTCCCTCACCCCTCCCCCGCCCCAGCCAGCACGGGCACCTCTCAGGCCTCTGTGCCACCTGGTGCCATTTAACAAGAGAAGCAGCATCACATTCGCCAGCCGAGGAGCTGGGAGCCTTCCAAGTTGCGGCGGAACGCGATGCTCTCACTGCTGCCAGCTTGGCAGGGGCCCTGGAACCGCGAGGCCCCCTCTGCGGTGTGGGCTGGCCTGTCCCTGCCTGCTGAACTGAGCAAAGCTGAAGTGGCAGTCAGGTGCCCTCCGGACTGTCCCCAGGAGGCTGGGGGTGGGTGGCCGGGGAGTGTGGTCCCCTCATCGGTCAGGTGGCCTTGTGCAGGAGGAGCTTGCCTGGGGGGGGGGCGTTCTGCCAACAGCTTGCCCGAGTTGTGCTTGGTGCTGTGGAGGGGGTGGGAGAGGCCAGGCACGGCCACGTGCTGATGGCCTCATCTCCGCAGGTCAGCTGCCTCAGTTCCCTTATCTGCAGAATGGGGCCAGGGTAACTCATGCCTTCCACCTGCTGGCTGTGAACATGTGCAGTGAAGAGGCCATGATTAAAACTGCAAGCCTCAGGTGCAGGCAGTCACTGACGGCGGCCAGAGAGCCGTGGTCACAGGTCCCAGTGGCCGGGTGCAGGCAGTCACTGATGGCGGCCAGAGAGCCGTGGTCACAGGTCCCGGTGGCCGGGTGCAGGCAGTCACTGACGGTGGCCGGCTGACTGACGGCCAGAGAGCCGTGGTCACAGGTCCAGTGGCCGGGTGGCCTGAGGCTGCTGCAGGCCAGAAGCTGGTGTCTGCGTGAGGTGCTCAGAGGGACAGGGCTTGCTCAAGTCGAAGGTTCATTTGCTCCTCTGACCATCCGGTTGTGGGCAGCCCCTGGGCCTGCCCTGGGGAGGTTACAGTCACTGTAGCAGGTGGCCCAGGCCCAAGTGCTCTCCCCGAGCTGGCGGTGTTTCCCATCCCTGGTGAGGGGGCGGGGTTCTCCTGGTGAGGGTGGGGCACCATGTCTCCTCCGCCTCCCCAGGGCCTGGTGAGGGGAAGTGGTGTGGTGGGAAAGAACCCCACCTGTGCGTCCCACCACGCAGGGCTGTGGCCGACTCTCAGGGTCAGAAAGCCTGTGCCTGCATCCAACTCTGCACGTGCCCCGCAGCTGCCCCCACCCAGGAGGGAACCCCTTCCCCTGCCACACACACCCCCTGCTGGCAGGGCTGCAGCCAAGTGGACCATTCTCAGAAAGATCACTGGCTTAGCCCCCTTGCGCGCCAGTCTCCTTGGGGCCAGAGGGTGTAGGCAGAGAATCCTCATGGAAGGGCCTCCCATAGACACTAGGGGGCTGCCTGGGCCTGAGCAGCCCAAATCTGACTCCTGCCTCAGTGTGGCGCTAAGGAGCAGGAGAGGGAGTAGCTGGGCAGTCCCCTGCGCCCGGCCTGGACAGGAGGCTGAGACAGGAGCAGGAGAGGGAGTAGCTGGGCAGTCCCCCGCGCCCGGCCTGGACAGGAGGCTGAGACACTGAGGACCAGGAGGGAGTAGCTGGGCAGGCCCCCGCCCCGGCCTGGACAGGAGGCTGAGACAGGACCAGGAGGGAGTAGCTGGGCAGTCCCCCGCGCCCGGCCTGGACAGGAGGCTGAGACAGGAGCAGGAGGGAGTAGCTGGGCAGTCCCCCGCACCTGGCCTGGACAGGAGGCTGAGACAGGAGCAGGAGGGAGTAGCTGGACAGGCCCCCGCCCCGGCCTGGACAGGAGGCTGAGACACTGAGGACCAGGAGGGAGTAGCTGGGCAGGCCCCCGCCCCGGCCTGGACAGGAGGCAGCCTCCCCTGAGAGCACGCCCTATGCTGGGGCAGGGGCATCCGGAGGCTCCGGCTCACGTTTGGTGGGTGCATGGTCTGTGCCCCACAAGGCCGGCCCAAGAGGGGTCCCCCAGCACTTGGTGCTCTGTGATGCTTGTCCATAGGCCAAGGGGCCAGACCTGATCCCTCACACCTCCCATCCCCCAACTCCCTGTCACCATCTGCAGATGGACAGGACCTCAGAGATATGCACAGGGTGGAGTGCCCACAGCTGCCTGGCCCACCCCTCCCCTGCGTAGCTCGCCGTCCTTTGCTAAGTAGGGCCTGTCACGTCACTTTCCCACAAGGCGGTGGCCAGTGGAGTGAGCATGGCGCGGGCTCGGGGTGTACCCGAGCCTTCCTCCCCTCCGAGCCTTCTTGGACACCCCTGTTTGAAATCCCCTAACTCCCTGGGGTCCGCCCTTCGGAGGTTTTCTCCCAGTACCTGGCACCTCTTGCTCCATGGTTTATGGTTCTCTCCCTGTTTGGGTTTCGGCTTCGTGGTTCCCGGCTGCTCCCCCAGAACCTAAACCAGGGCCTGAGGCCGTGTGTGCTGCCGGTGTTCGGTGAATGGTCAGAGGTGTCTGCCCGTGTTCCTGCCATGTGCCTGAATGAGGCCTGGGGGACAGCCCCCTCCCTGCCCCACCTCATCTGACACCCCTGCTGCCTGGGCCCCAAGAGGAGGTGTGACCTCACAAGGAGAGCCCCATGACCCCCAAGAGAGCGGTGGGGGCTGCCCTGGCCAAGGGACCCTGTGGAGTGCTGGATGGCGTGCAGGCCTGTGTGTGTGTGTGTGAGTGTGTGTGCAGTACTGGATGGCGTGCAGGCCTGTGTGTGTGTGTGTGTGAGCGTGTGCAGTGCTGGATGGCGTGCAGGCCTGTGTGTGTGTGTGTGTGAGCGTGTGCAGTGCTGGATGGCGTGCAGGCCTGTGTGTGTGTGTGTGTGCAGTGCTGGATGGCGTGCAGGCCTGTGTGTGTGTGTGTGTGAGCGTGTGCAGTGCTGGATGGCGTGCAGGCCTGTGTGTGTGTGTGTGCAGTGCTGGATGGCGTGCAGGCCTGTGTGTGTGTGTGTGAGCGTGTGCAGTGCTGGATGGTGTGCAGGCCTGTGTGTGTGTGTGTGTGTGAGCGTGTGCAATGCTGGATGGCGTGCAGGCCTGTGTGTGTGTGTGAGTGTGTGCAGTAGTGGATGGCGTGCAGGCCTGTGTGTGTGAGTGTGAGTGTGTGCAGTGCTGGATGGCGTGCAGGCCTGTGTGTGTGTGTGCGTGCGTGTGAGCCTGCACCGGCACAGGGAGAGCGGTGCCTTGATGAGCATCTCGGGAGGGCCTGGGCAGGGTTCGGGTCCTCCGTGGAAGGGCCTGTCCTGCCCTTGCCTGGCTCGGGTTCGGAGGGGCAGGGAAGCAGGAGCTCCGCCTCTGGATTCTGCTACTCAGGACGCTGCGTGGTGCTGTGGCCACCCCAGTGTCCCCCGGGGGTCCATCGGCCACACGCTTGTCAGAGCTAAGTAGTGACGAGGGAGCTGGAAGCTGACACGGGGCACTCCAGGACCAGGCCAGCTGAGGGGGACAGGGAGGCCGGCCGGGCAACCCATACCACATGACCCCACTTAGAAAATACCGAAAACGTCCGTTTCCTGCGCGGACAGAGGGCCACGAGGTGCAAACAGGCCCCTTCCTCGGAGACGTGTGCCGTCCAGGGCGTGTGGGTGACGCCGGCAGAGTTGCAAATAAAGCGCATTTGGAAGTTCAGGGCATATCCTGGGTCTCAGCACAGTTTCACATCTCGATCCGGGGGCTGGGCCGCTCCGCCCCCAGGGACTGCCCCCCAGGCACTCGGTGCCCTCACTTCCCCCACCCGTCCCGGAAGCATGAAGGGGTACAGGTTGCACTTCATGGTCAGGTGGACCCAGGCCCCGTGTACCTGCCGGCTCATGGGAGGGCCCTGCACCCTGAGAAACTTAGGGCATTTGAGGGGAATTTGGGGGACGAAGATCAAGGGAGACTCCCTTTTCCCTGAGAGACAGGAAATTAATCATCGTTTTTCAAAGCATTTGGTGAAAAGTCGAGCATGCTAGGAGGCAAATTCGATCGAAAGGGAGTTTCAGCAACCAAGCCCCTCGCTTCCTACTCGAGTACATTGAGGTCGTAACTTGTTTAAAAACTTGAAAATTTGCAAAAACCACATTGATTTTAGAAAGTTTAACCCTCCTCTCTGGCCGTCAGTGCCATAGGAGAGCCCCGGGCGGTGCCTGTCCAGGGCTCCACGCTGCCTCGTACCCCTCACCCTGGGCGGCTCCGGCTGCTGGCTGTTCCCGAGTTGCATCCTTTACAATATATGGTAATAATTTGAAAGAAAAATGAGGATGGGTGTTTGGTCTGGTGGTTAAGACTCCAGAGCCCCGGCCCTGGCTCCCAGCTCCAGCTTCCTGCTGATGTTGACCCCCGGGCGGTGGCAGCAGTGTTGGCTTCAGTAATGAGGTCCCTGCCGCCCACGTGGAAGACCTGGACTGAGTTGGCCCAGGATTCAAGCCCGGCCAGAGGCCACTGCAGGTGTCTGGGGAGTGAAGCAGTGGATGGAGGCTCTGTCTGTCTCTAACATTATCTGAAAAAAAAAAAAAAAATTTTAATGACATACAAGACTTGAATAAAGAAAGTATTGATTTGAGCTGTTTTAAAAGTACATTGAGAGGCAATTTAATTTCACTGACATGGGTGAAATCTCTTCTGAATCACTGAGCCCCCAGCAGAGGGACAGGGCTGCCACAACCCCATTCAGGGGGTCACAGTGAGAAAGTCTGAGGCCAGACCCCTTGCTGGTCCAGGCCTCGACCCGGGCCCTGGCTGGGCGCAGGCACACAGGGCGCACCCCGCACACATCTGTGTTAAGTGAGGATTCTGGGCTCTCCAGGGCGCTGGCCCAGGGAAGGATTTTGTTACCTTGGACAGTTCGGACGTGGCCTCATCGCTCCCCTGGGGCTGAGCTCTGTGCCCGGCTCTATTCCAGCCCCAGGCCCAAGGAGCTGCTCTCTCCTGGGTTCCTGTGGGGCGAGTCAGCCGCCTGGTGCGCAGTCCAGGCTCTGTCCTAGGGACGCTGCCGGCTGAGAGTGGGGCTGTGGCCTGTCCTTGGACCCCTAGAGGGCTTTCAGTGCCCTGGTGCTCCTCCTGGCTCCCTCCCCCCACACACACCCACATTCACACCCACTTCTTGCAGCTGCACTGCCGCCTACACCTTCCTGCCGCGCAGTTGCTGGCCCGTGGGCAGTGGGCCAGGGCCCCTCAAGGCTGCCTCGGAGATTGTGAGTCCTCGGGCTCTCCTGAGCCAGACACCCGGGGGCCAGCCGCTGTGTCACCTGTCCCGCGGCGCCTCCTTGCTGTTTATCCAGCCGCACTGCCCCCGTGGCGGATGGAGAGAGGTCCCCTCTTTTTAAAAAATTATTCTAGGGGTGTCTGGTGTAGCAGCGAAGAGGCCGTTGGGGGGCCCACATCCCGTATCGGAATGCCGGGTTTCAATTCCAGCTTCCTGCTGACGGGCCCCTGGGAGGGCAGCCGGTGATGGCTCAAGCATGTGGGTTCCTGTCACCTCCATGGAGACCCGGACTGGGTTCTGGGCTCCTGGCTTCGGCCTGGCCCGGCCCTGACTTGCGGGCACTTGGGGAGCGAACAGCAGAGGAGAGGGCTGTGTCTGCTCACTCTGCCTTCCAAATAAACGACCAAAAATTATGTTTTAGCTTTTCAATTTTAGTTTTGAGTTTTTTATGAACGTGATACTTGAGCGCCTTGGGGGACAGTACAGTGAGATTCCAGCTTCTCCCACACAAACCAGCCGAGCCAGCAGCAGCCTTCCGTTGGCCCGGCTGTAGTGGTCTGTGGTGCGCGCAGCTGTCGCCCCCAGCCAAGGTCCCCCACAGGCAGACCCTCCCCAGGGCTCCTCCCTGCCTCCCAGCGTCCCCTTGTCCCAGTGCAAGCTCCTCCCCCAGGGCCGGGGCCGGGGTTGCCTCCCCAGCACCCTGGCAGTTACCCCTCCTCTGTGTGCTGATCCCCCGGGCTGGTCCTTGGCGTCTGTGTGGTCCCCAGGAGGCACCAACCCCAGCTGAGCCCTGAGCTCCCTAAGACATCCCAGTGACGGGACCCTGTCGCTTGTTGATGGTCAGGGAAGGCCAGGGAGCTCATGTGTGTGACCAAGACTCAAACATGGCTCCGGTGGGCCTGGCCTTGGTGGGCGGGCAGAGGTGGCCAGACAGCAGGCTGGGACCACACAGTCCGCGGGCAGACGTGTGGGTGGAGGTGCCCCTCCCCGCCCAGTTTCCTCCAGGGGGTCTTACTGGGCTCCCCAGTGGTCCCCAGCCAGAGGCCAAACACCCTTCGGGATTAGTCTGTGCAGCAGCCCGGCCCTCTGCGTTCCACACTCCCAGACCTCCTGTTGGGCCCCCAGGCCTCTGCTCACACTTGGCCTCCACCCCTGTCATATGGCCCTGGCGCCTCCTGGCAAATACCTTCTCATCACCTCCTCCAAGAAGCCCTCCTGGCCACCCTTCCATGGAGATCTGTGCCGCTGCCTTGCTGTGAGGCACCGTCTGCCTCCCCCATCACTGCTACGTGTGTGGGAGTCCCTCGGGTGTTTGATGTCCTGAACAGCTCTGCCTGGGGAGGGTAGGAGGACTCCCCAGAGGAGGAGGCAGGTGGGGCTGAGGGGAGATGCCTGGGGCCAGGGGCCAGCTCAGAGAGGCAGAACCAAGGACCCCAGAGCTCTGTATCCATTCGGCAGGGGTCCATCCCCTTTGCTGCCCAAGAGCAGGCTCTGGTCTGACCCTGGCCGGGTCCCACGGGCCAAGGGCCCACCCAGCTGGCGTCAGAGCGCAATGGTTGAGCGGTTGAAGGCAGGAACCACAGGTGAAAGACAAGGGCCTGGCTGAGAGCGGGGGTGGGGCGGGCGGAGTGGGCTGGGCCGTCCCGGCTTCCTCCCAGGGCAGCCAGGCGAGCTCAGAATTCAGTCCCAGCTGTGTGTGGCCGCGTGTGGCCGCGTGAACACCATGAGGCGAGGAGGACGCAGCCGGCGGGGCAGGGACGGGCCAGCCCCGACGTCCTGCGTCCAGGCCCAGTGCTTTGACCCGCTGACCCGCCACTGCGTGGCCTGCTACCTCCTCCACATGCAGGAGTCCCGGCCGGGTAAGAGAGGCCCCACACTCAGGGAGGGAGGCCGTCCTGCCCCAGAGCCCGACCTGCCTGGGACCCGCGGGGTGACGGCCGATGGGGGCGTCAGTGGGCAGAGCCTGGGTGGGGACTGGCGATCCCTGCGTGGCCCTCACCCCCTCTCTCTCCCCTCTGCCTCCCGGTGCCCCCTCCCCTGCCCAGTCTCACCTCCCTCCGACCTTCACCGGCCCCGGTCGTCCCTCCCCTCAGTCCCATGCCCTCCCTCCCCGTCCCCTCCGCCAGCAGCGGGGGCCAGCAGCTTGGCGCCGGGCACAGCGCTGCAGCCGCAGGAGTCCGTGGGCACGGGGATCCCCGATGGGGCACTGCCACTGCCTGGGCTGCTCTTCGGCGCCCCTGTGCTGCTGGGCCTGGCGCTGGCGCTGGCGCTGGCGCTGCTGGCTCTGGTGAGCTGGAAGCGGCGGCGGCGGTGGCCAGGGGTGCCCTCCCCTGAGGCCCGGGACGGAGACCAGGAAGGTGAGTCTGCCCCTCCACCACCTCCAAGAGGCACCGCCCAGGGGGAGTAGGTCACAGGGGCTGCGGAGGAGAGAGGGCGGGAGACAGGGAGACGGGGCTGAGGCGGGTCACAGGCCAAGGGGGGATTTTGCTCTGAGAGTCCCTGTTCCAAGGGAGGGTCAGGGCGCAGTCCGAGGGGCTTGGTCCCCAGCGTCTCAGCACTCCGCCTCGCCAGGCCTGTGACCCATGTTTCCTGTCCCGTGGAGCAGTCATGTGCCCGCTCCCCCCAAGTAGAACCTCACGCACTGAGGGCCCACCCTCCAGAGGAAGCTCCCAGAGTAGGCACAGGGAGGGCTGTGGCCCACTCCTGAGCCTCACTCTGCACCCCTGCCCCCACCCACTCCAGAGTCCCTGGATGATGTCATTGTCTTCTCCCCGGGATGCCCGGATGCCACAGCTCCCAACTCACCCCCACCGGGAGAAGAAGCAGGCACCGCCCCACCCAGCCACAGCATCCCTGTGCCGGCCACAGAGCTGGGCTCCACTGAGCTGGTGACCACCAAGACGGCCGGCCCTGAGCAACAGTAGCACCGGGGGGCCGGAGGGGGCCCTGCCCTCCTTGTGGGCCAGCGCAGGCTCCCCTAGAAGTGGAATTCAGCCCTTCACCCCAGCCGCTGCCTGCGTGTGTCCCGGGAGCCACCCTGCAGGGCAGGCAGTGCCGGGCGGGCACAGGGGCTTCTGCCGGGAGCCCACTCCTCGCTTGCCGTTCTCTCTGAGCTCCTGCGTGTCTGAGTGGCGGGGCCGTTCTGAGTAAGAGGCTTTTCTTTTAGAGTCTGGAAGGCACCATTAAGCAAAATTGAACGTGAAAAAAAGAGCAAGTGGGAGGAAGCCTGACTCGTCGCTGGGCGTTGTGTTTCTCTAATACTTGCTCTCGGAGCTGTAGCAGCTGACGCGAGTGGCAGCAATGAGTAACCAGCTGACGGCTTTGCGCCGGGAGTGAGTGCGAGATTATGTTAAGAAAAGACTCGGAGCAAGAGACATAAAAGACAGTGCCGGACCGGGCCGGGTCTCAGCGCCAGGGGCGCTCACCGGGGCGCCCCCGCTCTGGGGCCTGGGCCCAGCTCGTCACCCTCCGGGGCAGGGTCGCAAGTCCTGTCCTGGACGCTTCCTTGGAACTGGCCCAGCCCGGCCCCCCTGGAAGCAGCTCTAAGACGGGGTTCAGGGTGTGTCCTCCCTCCAGGGCTGCCCGGCAGCCCCCTGCGCTTTCCCAGCCCAGAGACAGTCAGGGACCAGGATCGCTCACCTCCAAGTCCCTGGCCTGCTAAGTCCCTTGTGAACCCAGATGCCCAGGTGACTGGAGTGAGCTCAGTGGCAAGCGGTAGGCAGCAGGGGCCGGGGGCCCAGAGGAGCCCCGTCGCCCACTCCCCTCCCTGCCCCAGAGTCTGAGCTGTCCCCCTCCCCCATCTCCTCCACCACAGCCAGGGGCTGGGCCTGAAGGGGAAAAGAGTGGGCGAAAGCCCTCAGACCCAGACATGCAAACCTCCAGCCCCTCTCTGTCCCAGCCCAGTCCCTGGTGGGCACCACGGTTTCCCCTCTCGTCTGTTTCCTCTTCTGAAAAAGGGGGCAGGGGCTGGATGCAAAGTTCTCCTGGCCTGCGGCCCCCAGAGGAGGACGGAAGGTAGGGCATTCTCTCTCACACCCATTTCTCAGATGAGGAAGCTGAGGCTCAGCAGGGGAGGGAAGTTCTTCGGGGAAGAACCAGGAGAGAGCAGTGGAGGAGTGGTGAGGAGGAGGGATGGTGTCTCTGCAGCCCGGGCACCTTGTTCTGGGGGCCGCTCTCTCTCCTGATCCTCCTAACAGCACCTGGAAAGGGGGGTGGGTTATTTGTGTATTTGTGTTTGCTTTAAAAAAATGTTTCAAAAATCCAAACAATGCATTCTGCAGGCAGTAAATCGGAGGCAGGCCTGTGGGGAAGTGAGTGGTGTGCAGGGCGTGGCCCCGAGTTACCCCGCCACGCACGGCGTGCTCTCCGTAAGGTTCCCGGCAGTTGTAGAATTTCCCGAGCACTTGGCTGCGTTCGGGTCCTGCGGTTGTATCCGAGGCCCTCTGGGCATCGCCGCCTCCACCACGGCCCTGTCAGGCCACGAGCAGGGAACCTACGGCCCATTTTGCAGGCAGGCAAAGAGAGGCCTAGAGACAGCAAAGGGATCCGGCCCAAGATGCAGTTCGCGGTGGCCCTGCCCCACGCCCTCTGCGTTCCCAGCACAAAGCCATTGGCCCAGGTGCCAGGCCCCACCCCTGCCTCCCTCTGCACAGGGACTGGCGGGAGCCCAGGCAGTGGCGCCCCTCACAGGGTCTGTGCGGGTTTTTCCTGCAGCGGGGCCTGCTTTTCCACAAGGTCCCCAGGGCTCCGCAGCTGGGGGCGGGGCTGGCGGGAGTCTCAGTTCCTCCCGAGGCTTCCTGCAGGCCCCTTTCACTTCCTGCCTGGGGGGCTCAGGGAGCCGGCGGGGAGGCCCAGCTGGGGAGGCCAGGGAGGCGGCCGACCCCTCGCCTCGGGCTGCGTCTGCAGGCCGGCGCACAGCGCTGTGTGTGGAAGCTGGCAGCAGCTCTGGGTCCCTGGGGGCACAGGGCAGGCCGCTCTGAGCCCCACAGGGGTGGCTGAGGGCAGCAGTGCCCTCGGGACGTGGGAAAGTCGGGGAGGCGCCTAGGAAGAACAAGGCGTGGCCCCGGCCTTTCCCCCAGGGAACGCGGCAGCTGTCGGGGCTGAGGGCGTCTGGGTGGTCCCAGGGCCCGGCGGGGCCCACGCTGCAGCCCGGATCCAGGACAGCTCCGCGACCCCGACTGCGTGCCGCTTGTGCGGTCAGCCCTAGCGTGGCCCCGACTCGGGCTGCAGGGCGCGGGGAGGGGGCGGGACTGAAGGACCCCAGGCCCAGAGGGGCGGAGTCCGGCTTGGCTTCGGGGCTAGGAGAGGAGGGGCCGCGGGGTCCCTGTCCCCACCTGCGTCGCATCGCGGCTGGGGACGCGAGGGGCGTTATTCGGGCCAAGGAAGGGTCGGTGGGGAGGGGTGCTTGGGAGTGAGGCGCGAGGCTGAACCTCAGCTCTGCTCTGCGCGACCTTGGGAGCCCGGGCTCCCCCTCCCTCCCACGGGCAGCTGGAGCCTGAGTCACTCCTGTCTCAGGAGACAAAGGCGGATCCAGACCCCCTCCGGTGGCATTTGCTCTCACTGGGGGTCTGGGGCCCTCCTCCAGCCAGGACGGGACCTTCCATGAGCTTGGGGGTGGCACTGTCACTGTCCCCGGGGCAGAGAGGGCTCCCACGGGCCCTGGCTGGCGCATCACGCAGGTTTGCAGGCATTGGCTCCCTCTGCACCCCTGCCCACAGGGGCCAGCAGCCCACCTTGCGAGTGAGGGCACTGAGGTCTAGCCAGGGTGGCTGGCCCTAGGAGGGCAAGAATTCCCACCCTGCCAACTGGCTCCGCAGTGCCGGCTACATGGGAGCATCCCAGGACGGGAGAACAGGCCGTGCGCAGGCCTGGCGCACACGCAGGGGTCAGGGCTGGCCAGGCGAGGCCAGGCCGGGCAGATGTGCTGTCCGGGGTAGGGAGCGCTGCCCTGGGGCCGGCCTTGCTCACCTGGCCAGAGGCAGTTCCGGGGTTCATGGTGCTGGCTCCAGGCCAGGCCCTGGCCCCTCCCTGCTCCAGGCCCAGCAGCCATTTCCCCTCCGCGTCTTGGGTTTCTCTTTAGAAAATCTCAGCCCCTCGGCCCAGGGCGGCATGGGGAAGGCGGACTGGCCGCCTGCCATCTACAATGGGGATGCGGAGGCCAGCCCGGGCCCTCCTTAATGCCCACGCGCTCTCAGGACCCCGGGGCCCTCCACGGCCAGGGTTGGGCACCAGTGAGGGAAGGATACAGGCGTGCCCACATGGACACACGTGTCCACAGCACAGGGACAGCCCCAGCGCCAGCTGCGGGCACCAGGAGTGGGGGGTGGGGCACTGCCCTTCCGGCACGGAGACTTTGAGCCCCGCCGGGCTGCAGATGCCCGGTGTTATTTTAAGCTTGGATCAATGCACAATTTTCAGTGATACAGGCTTGGGGGTGGGGGGACAGGCAAGAGGGACAAGGGGCAAGTGCCCTGGAGCCTGGCTGTGCGAGAGGCCCCAAGGTCCGTCCTCTGCTGGCTCCATCCCCAGCTGCCCTCACCCAGCACGTGGCCAGGCACCTGGGGACAGTGGGGGCTGAGTGGAGGGACGGATCCCAGGGCCCAGCCAGTCACTTGGGCTCCTGTGTGTGCAGCTGCCTCTCCTGCTGCCCCCCGCCCCCATCAAGTGTCCATATGGAGAGGGCACCAAGTACCTGGCTCAGACCCAGGGGATGTGGGCACCTGTGGTTGCTGCTGGCCACTGAATCAGACTGAGAAGCGCAGGGAGCTGGCGTGGGGCTTGGACATCATCTCCCCCTCCCCCAGACTGGGGGGCGGGGCTGGAATTCAGCTCCTTCGTTGGACAGATGGCCATCCCTATGCACATACCTTTGCAGGGAGCCAGCACGAGGTGGAAGTTAACAGAGGGCCCGATGCCAGGGCAGTGAAGGCAAGAGGGGGCTCAGCAGAGGACGCAAAACCCAGCAGAGTCGTCCTCACGGTTCCGGGGAGCAGCCCAGCACCCTGCAGCGGGGCGGGGGGGGGGGGTGGAAGGGGAAGCAACCGCTCCCTGAGCCCCTGCAGCCTGGGGGCATCATGCAGGCAGAGCCTGATCCAGACAGGGCAGCAAAGATCCCACTTCTAGGGACACCCGCGAAGGGACCGACAAGGACGCCCCAGAGGTGTGGCTGGGAAGTTCTGAGCAGAATAGCAAAGCAAAGTCTTGAAGGGCAGCCAGAAGTAAACCAAGAACCCAGCTACAAAGCCGGATGCGAAGGTGGCATTCCTGCAGGGGCTGGCCCTGGTGAGGGGAGTAAAGCGGTTTAATTTCGTCCTTGGCTCGTCTGCCTTTCTCCTGCAAAACCAGGGCACGTGTTTTCCTGGGGTGGGGTCTCACCCCCTCCCTGGCGTGGGCCGCCCTCCCGGCAGGTGCGGGAGGACTTGATCCTCCTTGAGATGCAAATCCTCCACTCTGAGACGCAGAGCCCCGGCCAGCCGAGGGAAGCGGGGTTGGCAAATGGAGCGGCAGGGACCCGAAGAGAGATTCTTCGTCTTACAGAAACTAGAGGCTGGACAGTGATGGCGGCGTCCGTGGTGAACCGCCCGGCAGCCCATGCCCTCCGGGTGTTCCCATCTGCAGGGTGGGAGGTGCCACGGCGACCCCTTTCTCCCGCAGGGCCAGGAGGGGGAACCGAGGCAGGGAGAAGAGGTGGCCACCCGCCCTGCTGTCCTGCAGAGCCCAGCTCCGGAATCCCGTCGGGACCTGGGGCGTCCTGGGGCTGTCTCTGCCCGGCCTGCCCTCCTCTTCCCCGTCACAGCCAGGGGGAGGGCAGCAGGTGGCTGGAGGGCAGCTGCCAGGCCGTGGTCGGAGCCGCGGGCCCAGGGGGACCCCGGTTCAGCGTCTGGGAGGTTCTGAAGCCAAGGCACTCTCCCTGGAGGTGACCGCCGGGGTTTCCCTCCCTTTTGGTAGGTGGGGGATGGAGGCGTAGAGACGGGAGGGGTCCTCCCAGGGGAGGGGGAGGAGAAGGGGGCACCGATCCTCGTGGGACTGCCCTGGGCTGCTGTGACCTCCGCACCTCCGTCCCTGCACTTGTAAAGCACGGGCTCGCCCGTCGCGGGCTGGGGACCCGAGGTGGCAGCGTCCCGAGCCCTCGGCGGAGCCCTCTGCAGCGCCCACTTCCGAGGAGGGTCCCTGGCTGGGCGCCCGGCCGTGCGGCCCTGCCTCGCCCCCTCCCGCCCCTCGCGGCGGCTGCGCTCCGCCCCCGGCTCTGCCTCCCGCCGCCCGCCCTCTTCCCGCGCTCGCTCCCCCGCCCGCCCGAGCCCGAGCCCGAGCCCGAGCCCGAGCCCGAGCCCGAGCCCGCGCCGGAGCCGGAGCCCGAGCTGGAGCGCGGGCAGCGCGGAGCGGGCGGCGGCCCCTGGCAGCCCGCACTGCGCGGCCCCCAGGCCCAGGACCCGCACACCCTCCAGAGCCGAGAGCAGTCAGGACCGCGCGCAGGCACGGACCCGCCGCCGGCCGGGAAAAATCCCAGGGCGCGGACTGGCCAGCGTGCGTCCGAGGTGAGCCCCGGCGGGGGACGCGTCCACCGGAGGTGTGGCCCCGGGCCTGGGGTCTCCAGAGGACGCTGACGGCCCAGGACGCAGCGCCGCGGCGGCGGAGCCAGCGCGATCCCTGGGGGCACCGAGGAGCCGGGCCGGGGAAGCCGCGGCGCCCGGCCATGCGCGGGGCGCAGTAGCAGGAGGCGCGGGTCCGATGGAGCGGGCCGCCACGCCGGGGCTCCGGCTCGCGCTCGGGCTGGCGCTGCTGCTGGCGCGGCCGCCGTCGGGCTGCGCAGGGGCCCCCGAGGCGCAGGAGCCCGCGGCGCCCGGCACGGCGGCCCCGGTCGGCGGCGACCGCTGCCGCGGCTACTACGACGTGATGGGCCAGTGGGACCCGCCCTTCAACTGCAGCTCGGGCGCCTACAGCTTCTGCTGCGGCACGTGCGGCTACCGCTTCTGCTGCCACGACGGGCCGCGGCGCCTGGACCAGAGCCGCTGCTCCAACTACGACACGCCCGCCTGGGTGCAGACCGGCCGGCCGCCGGCCCGCGCGCGCGACGCCGCGGCGCCCCGGGACCCGGCCCGCGAGCGCAGCCACACGGCCGTCTACGCGGTGTGCGGCGTCGCCGCGCTGCTCGTCCTGGTGGGCATCGCCGCGCGCCTGGGCCTGGAGCGGGCGCACAGCCCTCGCGCGCGGCGCACCGTGACCAGGTGAGCGCGGCCCGGGATCCCCAGCCACGCGGCCCCGACAGCACCCACTGCGGTTCTTTCAGCGGCCCCCTCTCCTGGCCCTTGCTCTGCCTCCGGCCCCCAGCCCCCACTTCGCCAGGAGACACCTGATACCGCCGGTCTCCCCTGACCTTCCTGCCTTACCGGGTGCGGGGCCGCCATCCCTCCCCGCAGCCTCAGCCTCCTGGGCAGGGCCGGAGGGCACAAGTGGGCGCCCAGGGGAGCGAGGCTGGGGCCCAGGCCCCACTGACCCCGTGGGGGCCGCTGGGCATCTTGGGCAGGGGCAGGGGACCACTGGCTGTTTGGTTCCGGCCCTACTGCTTTCCTCTCTCACCTGTGCACCGCCACCCCCACTGCTGTGACTCAGGCCTGCCCACCCGTCCCCGGGGTTTCTGAAGGTCCCACACTTGTCCCCTTCAATGGCCCCTGGGCCACAGCAGGTTCTTCCTGCAGAAGAAGGCACTGACAGGTGGAGGGAGCCATGCCTGTGAGACCAGGATGGGTGCCGGCTGAGTTCTGGGCTGGGGTGGAGGACCCAGGTGGAATGGAGGCATGGGGCCCCTGGCCCTCCCACCCACACTCCCACCCTACCATGCCCCCGCAGCCCCTGCGTCCCAGGCCCGTGCCTTCTGCAGTCACCGGGCAGCCCGGTACCCTGGGACACGTGGGCTGCTGACCCCGCACACACCAGGCTGGCATTGAGAGGGAGAAGCCCCCACTCCCAGGCGGCCAGGCGTGGCCGCTCTGCCTTCTGGGCCTCGGGCAGGGGTGAGGCTGCGCCGGCACTCATCATCCCTCACTCCCCAGACCACTTGGCGCTCGGTGCCCTCGGCCACTGGGCTGTCTCCGCGCTGGGTCTCTCAGCCCGGCTCCTGGGGGCTGCAGGGGCAGGGGCTGGGCCTCCTGCTGGGTGAGGGGGCAGGGAGGAGGTCGGTTGTGAGGGGTGGCTGGGCCAACACGTCCCCTGGGAGCTCCCTCCATCTGCAGGGTCTCGGGGAAGAGCTGGCCCCATTCCTGACCTGCTGTGTGGCCTGCACCAGTGCTGCCCCCTCCCTGGGCTCCAGGCACCCATGCTTCGTGCCTGTCTTGTGTAGGCTGGAGTGGGACCTGGGCTCCTGCGTGCGTGTCCTGAGCCCCTGCTCTGCCCCTCTTGTCACCCTCAGTTCTGTGTTGGCACTGACAGCTTGGGGAAGTTTGTGCAGGGGCTCAGAGGTAGGCCTGTGAGAGCTGGGCTGGGTGCCTGCCCAGGGAGGAGACCGGAGCGGGAGCCGCGGAGGAGTGGGGTGCTCAGCTGGGGCAGGAGCAGCATCAGAGCTCACAGACCCCAGCCACGCCTCGGCCACACCGGGCACCCCGCGAACCAGCCATTTGAGGCCCAGCCGCGGGAAGAGGGCCGGGCCAAGTGGGAGAAAATCATGGGTTCCGGGTGCCGCAGGCAGCTGGGCCAAAGGCTCCGTCAGACGCCAGACAGCTGGGTGGGGGCTGGGTGTCCAGGGCACCCAGGAGGGTGGATGCCCAAGGTCATGGAGCCTTTGGGTGCTGCACTGGTCTGACTTGGCTCCCTCCTGCCACCCCCAGACCCCCGGCAGGCACCCCTGCCGCGGGAGGCGGGGTAGGCAGGTAAAGGAGGCATCAGCGGGTTTGAAGAATGAGAGGAGGAGGAGGAGAGGGGAGAGGAGGGGACCCTGGCCCAGGAGGTGACCCCGAGTTTCTCGGTTAGCTCTGGGAAGGGGCTGGTGTGGGACACAGGTGTGGCTGACGGGTTTTCCCTGGTCGGGGACACAGGATGGTTGAGGTTAGTAACATGAGATCCAAGGCCCAGAGAGGGTGGAAGAATGGCCTGGAGTCACCCAGTGGGACCGGGGTGGGGGTGGGGGGCTGGAGCCAGGGAGGGAGGAGGGCCGGCAGGCTGGCCTTCACCGCTCTGTCCCTACAGGACACTGACAGAACTCCTGAAGCAGCCGGGCCCCCAGGAACCACTGCCTCCACCTCTGGGCCCACCTTTGGGTAGCTGTGTCCAGGTGCAGATGGGGGACGGCCTGCCCCGGAGCTCCGCCCACGACAGCACAGGTGCGCAGGCTGGTGGGGGGCGGTGGCACCCGCTCTGTGGCAGAGAAGGTTCGGCGAGTGCGGGTCCGTGGGCCACCGGACGCTCTGGGCCAAAAGGCCAGGAGCTGTGTGCCGCGAAGGTGCGCCTGGGGAGGGACCCTCCTACCGCCCTGCAACCTGCAGGCCCAGGAGCCGTGGCTCTGTTGGGTCCCAGATGCAGGATTTGCTGGCCCTGGCCCGAGCTGTGGCTCTGAGGCTCTGGCTCTGTGCCCCGGGGTCTGGAGCCCCCTTGCTGGCCTCGGCTGGGGAGGCGGCATCGGGGTTCAGTTCTCGGGGGCTTTGCTCCATCCCCGCGCAGGCACGTCCTCGGAGGGGGCTGCCGTGGTCCACGCGGCGCTGGAGCTTCTGCCCCGAAGAGGGGCTCGGCTCCATCAGGCTGGGGGAGAGGGGCTGCGCGGGCGCGCCGCTCAGTGGAGCAGGCCAGCCTCGTCTCACCACGGCCCGTCCCGCCCCGCAGACAAGAACCGCCTCAACAACGCGCCCCTGGGGTCCGCCACCCCGGGGCCCCCGCGAGGCCCCCGGCTTCAGGGCGGCGGCGTGACGCTGCAGCCCGACTACGCTAAACTCGCCGCGCTCAAGGCCGTAGGTGAGTGGTCCGGCGCGTGCCGGCGAGGCCCGGGCCAGGATGGCCGGGTCCTGAGCCCCCGGTTCCCATGGCCGTCGGGACCTACGGGACCCGGCCAATCCGCGCTCGGGTCGCCCCCCACGCAGCCAATCGGCTCCCCCTGGGCCTGGCCCGGCCCCTGACCGCACCGCCCATTCTGACCCCGCGCCCGCCCTGTCCCCCGCAGAGGCCGCCCCCCAGGACTTCTACCCGCGTTTTCCCGCTACCGAGCAGGCCCCGCGGACCCTCCCGGCGCGGGCCCCGCGGCCTCCCGAGGACCTGCCCGCCCGGCTCGACGCCTGCCCCTGGGCCCCGCCAGGCTACGCGCCTCCCGCCGGCCCCGCTCCGTCGGGCCCCTACGCGGCCTGGACCGCCGGCCGCGCCCGGCCCAGCGCGCGGGGCCACCTGGCCGTGCAGGCCTCCCCGGCGGCCCGGCGGCCCGGCCACGCGCCCCGGCGCCAGTTCAGCGTGGAGAAGCTGCCCGAGGCCTTCAGCCCCCAGCCTCCCGGCCTTTACGGCAGCGCGAGCCGCGGCCCGCGGCACCTGAGCACCAACAGCAAAGCTGAGGTCACCGTGTGAAGCGGCCGCGGGGCGTCCGGGGAGGGGCGTCGCCCGAGCCCTCTCGTGTCCGGCCCGGGGCAGGCCCCCGCGGAGCGGAGCGCCGTTCAGGGAAGGCCAGCTCGGCTGACCGCCTACACTGGGCTGGCGGCCTTGGAGCCTGCGGGGCTGAGAAGGGGCTCACTGGGTGAGGCCCGCGGCTCTGTCCGTGGGGCCGGGGCCCGGTTCCCGGTGTAAATAAAGCCTCGAATGTGGTTCCCGCCCCTGAAATAAAGGAGCCCCAGCTTGGCCTGGAGCGGCGCTGATGGCCGAGTGGTCCTGACTGCACAGACGGCAGTGCCGGCGGAGGCCCAGCATGGCGGGAGCAGAGGACTCTCCCGGGCTGGCGGCCAGGGAGCTGGGGGCCAGGGAGAAGTGGCTGGAGAGGGTGGCCAGGGCCCAGTGCCCACACCGGCGGGAGCCTTGGCAGGCAGCAGGGCACAGGGGAGACAGTTGTTGGGTCCAAGGCCCCTTGGCGGGGGGGCCCATGCCCTCTCCTGGAGGAGAGTCCTTGGCCAAGCCTGGCAGGACCTCACCGACAGTTTTTGGCTGTGGCCTGGCCCTGGCCTGCAGGCTGCTTGTCCAGATTGGCCCAGGGCCCCCGGACATCTGTGCTCAGGGCGGGGGAGCCTCCCAGGAGGTGCTCCAGGGCTCAGAGGGAGGGCTGGGGGTATGGAGCAGGGCCCCTCCCCCTGACACTCCCACCGCCTATGCTGGGCGACCCCGGCTGTCCCTCTTCCTGCCAGGAGGGCCCCCAGGAGTCCCTCTGTGCCCAGGGCCATGGGAGGCTGAGGTGCGGCCTTTCCCAGCGTGCTCTGCTGTGCAGGGGCCCCGTGGGGTGTGGTCTGCGGGCTGGGGCCCCTGTGGTGACTGGGAGTGCAGAGGCAGGCACAAACCTGTGTGCTGGGAAGGGTCGCTGTCACCAGTCCGAGACCCTCCTGCGGGCTGGGCTGCCCCAACACCTGCCAGCTCCTCACCTGCCTCTTACCTGAGGCCGCTGGAAGCCCTGGCTTGCCGGGAGGGTGGGAGTGGGGGCGGGGCGCCGCGGCCCTATCCCACAGCTGCCTAGAGCCAGGGAGGGGGTGGGTGCTGACTCAGCCTGCTGAGGCTCACGGGAGGCTGGGTTCCGGGGCACACAGGCCACCCACGGCCACCTACCCTGGTGCCGCAGGCCCTGGCCGGGCATGACCCCTCTGCTGGTTCAAGGGCCCTGGAGATGGCACTTGGGCCAGGCTGTGGCCACAACTGAAAATGCTGTCGTGACGACAGGACGGGCTGCAGCTGGGCCCCTCCTGGCTGCTCTGGTCCCGCTGTCTGCTGCCACCTATGTGTTGTGTCATTCAAACCCGGTCTAGTCCAAGAGGGGGATTAGCACTGCTTTTCTGCACACGTGGAAGCAGAGGCTGAAAGGCCAGATCCCGCCCAGGGCGGCCCAGCTGGGTGGTACCTGCTGGCCAGGGAGCCCCCAGCGGGAGAGGAAGCATCTGGCCGGCTCCGGGCCCGGGGCCTCTGCAGTGGGGGGCAGGGGGCTGTCCCCGCAGCAGTCACGCTACAGACCTCACACACCTGGTGCTGGGTGGTACCAATCTGTTTATTGACGCCCTGCCTGGGACACGGTAAATGAGCCAACATGGAGAAGCCACAGGTGTATCCCCCTCAGTGAGAAACCGCCCCACCCCCACACAACAGTGAGAAAAGGCGCAGGACACACACGACACGGCTGCAGGGCCTGGGGCAAGGCAGTCCTGGTGGGGGAGGGACAGGGGGTCAAAAAGGGTGGGGCTGACTCCAAGTGAGGGTCCAGGCCGCACCCCACATCCGGGGGCCCTGTGGTGGGCACCCCCGATCTGCTGGGCCTTCTGCCCCCTCTCCCCAGCCGGCAGGGTGGGAGAGTCCCAGGGAGGTAGCAGGAGCTCCTGCGCCCGGCGAGCCGGCGCCCTGGCTGTGCAGGCGCTGGTCCCGGCCACCCTCGCTTCTCGGGCTCACACTGCAGAGGTAGGTGTGGGGGAAGGGGAGCCGGGGCGCAGGGAGCACACAGCAAAGGCCCCGGGCCCCGTTCCCGACCGCGGCTGCACCCTCCTCGCCCCTGGACCTGCCCCGAGCTCAGGCTGGCGTCCTGGGGCGGGGGGAGTGGGAAGGAACAGGACCATTAAATAAGATACCATTTATTTTTAAAAAATTAAAAAATAATGCCGACATAATTCCATCCGCCCTCAGGCCTGCCTCCGGCTCCCACCTGGCTCCCAGCTGCCCCGAGGAGGAGGGGAGACGACGCGCTGGCTCAGGCCCGGGCGGAAGAGGCCGCAGCAGCTTCCCCAAGCACACGATATAAAAACATTCATATAAAAAGGGGAGGGGCATGCTGGGCAGAGCGCCGGGTTGGGGCCTTCGTCCGCGGGGGGAGGCCTGGGCGGGGGAGAGGCCTGGGCGGGGGCTTCCCCGCAGGGCGCCCAGTCCCTACCCTGCTGTCTCCTCCCAGCGTCCCGGCCGATCCGGCACCTACGACAGTAGCTCTAAGGGGCCGTGCCGGGCACACTGGCCGGAGGTGAGCCAAAGGCCTCGGGGCACGGTGACAGCTCGGGACAAGGCCCACCCCCCAGCTCTCAGAATGCGGAGACAGGGACAGAGGGGGCAGCCTGGGGGGGCAGGGCCGGCTGGGGCGGTCAGGAGGCGGCGATGGCCGTGCCGCCGCCCAGCTTGACGATCATCTGCTGGCAGTCGCTGCAGGAGCGCCGGTCGCCCGCCTTCTCCAGGGTGCGGGCCGCCTCGGCGAGCAGCACTGCCCGCTGGCCCGGGGACGAGAGGAAGGAGAGGGGCAGGTGGCGGCAGGCCAGCAGGATGGCGGTGGCCCGCTCTCGCTGACCGGGCCAGGCGTCCACCTCTCCTGCGGGAGGGAGGGGACGCGTGGGTGAGTGGGGAGCCGCTGTCCCCAGGCCTTTCTGTGGGGCGTTCCCTTCAGCCCCACCCCTCCCACGCGGCCGCGCCCCTCGCCGGCCCAGGGCGGCCGGCAGCGGACTCACCGTGCTTGGTGCTCTGGGTGCTGCGGCGCCGCAGGCTGTGCTCCAGCAGCCGGTGCGTGCGGGTGGGGCTGGCCCCCGCCATCAGGCGCACGGTGGCTTCGTGCAGGAACACCTGGGGAGGGGCAGGAGGACATGCAGTCAGTCCCAGGTGCTCCCGCTCCGCGCCCGTGCGCACTGCCTGCGCCTCTCTGCGGCTGCTCCTCTCCTCGCGCCCCCACCTCGCTCCTCGCTCCAGCCAGCTCTGCTGTACCCGAGGCAAACCGGAGCCTGGATGAGTTGCGGAAATGGGGGACAAGGCACCGGCCAGCTGGTGGGGGCAGGAGCAAGACAAGGCCAGAGGCAACAGGCCTGCCTTCCTCGGCTGGCGAGAGTGCCCTGACGTGCACCCGAGGCCGGCTCAGTGGACGGCAGGCCAGGGAGGCCGGCGTGGGGGTGGGGCACAGCTGGGCTGGTACCAGAGGGGGCCTGCACCCCTCCCCTCCTGTGCTCCCGGGAGGAAGAGCGCACACAGGGTCCGCTCTCAGGTCAGGGTGAGGTGAGGGGAGCGGGGAGCGAGCTCAGGCCTGCCCAGGTCTCAGGCTCTTCCCAGCTCTCCTGCCGTCCGTGGGCAGGCTCTGTGCCTAGGAGGCAGCTGAGGGGCTGCGCCGTGAGCTGGGGGCTGTGGCCAGCGCGCGTCCCAGCGGCAGGGGTGCTGCCCCGAACCAGGGGTGCACTTCTTCTTTTGCATGGACTGCTTCTTGGATGACGCGTTCTATCTGCCGTTTGGACGGCGGCCCCTGGCCAGTGTGGCCTGTGACCTGGCCAGCGTGGCCTATGAGGTCCCCGCACCTCGGGGCGAGGGCACCTCCATCTCGGCCCCCTCTGCTTTCTGGCAGCCTTCTACAGGTAGCCCGCTCGGCTCCTGGGTCTCCTCACTCAAGTGGCCCGAAAATAACTCGGGTGAAAATCAGAGACAAGGCATGACCCGAGTCCCGCTGGCCCGGTTACAGGACTGTCCTCAGATGCTGTGGCCGCGCCAAGGGGATGTGACCTGGAGATGGTCAGGTAGCAGAACCAAGGCCCCGTGGCCCAGTTAAAAATTTACAGTGCATTTCCCTTCGGCTGTAGCTCCGGGAGACTTACTCTTACTCCCATCAGTATGGCGCTCCCCTGGGGACAGGGCCAAAGAGCCCTCCTACCCAGCATCTGACTGCACTTCAGGGTGGGGTGCCCAGCAGGGGCTGGACCAGTGTGCCCTGACCCAGCGTCAGGCCCGAGCAGGTGCCTGACGGCCACCTGGAGACTGGAGGGCCAACTCCACCACCACCTGCTGGGTCTAGGACCTGGGCCCCACAGACCCCCTCTGCCCTCCACCACCACCTGCTGGGCCTCACCTTGCGGTAGGCTGGGCGGAAGCTGTGTGCTAGCCGGCGCAGGCTGCCCAGGTCCCGCTGGAAGCCAGCCAGCTCGGAGCCTGACGCGTGGTAGGTCTCACCCAGGGCCTGGCTGGCGCCTGCCTGCTTTTGCCAGAGCGCTGTCCGCAGCGACAGGAGCAGGTCACAGGTGAACAGCTGGAACACCTGGGGGTGAGCCACGGGGGAGACAGGTGACCGCCTATCCCTGAGAACAGGGGCCCAGCCCCGCAGGCCCTCCCCCAGCCACACTCAGCCGCCCTGGAGGAAGCAGGGTGCCCGGAGCCTGGGAACTGCCGGCAGCTGGCGCTTGGTCCCAGCTCTGACAGCACAGGCAGGGCAGGAGCAGGAAGGAACCCGCGCGGTCTGAAGGCACAGGTTCTCCACCTCCTAGGGTCCCCCGTGGCAGGCCTGGGGGCCGAGCTACCCGAAAGCCCACGGCCGCCTCCTACAAGGGGCAGAGGTAGGGTGTGTGTGAGTGTGCACTCATCTCCTGGGGCAGGGTGTGTGTGTGTGCACTCATCTCCTGGGGCAGGGTGTGTGTGTGTGCAGTGTGTGTGCACTCATATCCAGGCGCAGGGTGTGTGTGTGTGTGCATGTGGCTTTTTTTTTTGGGTGTGTGTGTGTGTGTGTGTGTGTGCAGTCATCTCCTGGGGCAGGGTGTATGTGTGTGTGTGTGTGCACTCATCTCCTGGGGCAGGGTGTGTGTGTGTGTGTGTGTGTGCACTCATCTCCTGGGGCAGGGTGTGTGTGTGTGTGTGTGTGTGCACTCATCTCCTGGGGCAGGGTGTGTGTGTGTGTGTGTGTGCGCACTCATCTCCTGGAAGGCGGGCCAGCTGACCTGGCTGCCATCCTCGTCTTGCTGCCACGGCGTGCAGCCACGTAACCTGGCATCAGCTTCTCCTCCCTAAGTCTCAGGGTCCTCATCCACAGGGGACTGGCTTGTGTGAGGGCACGAAGCCTCACGGGTATGGGCTACATACACCACACGCCAGTCCAGGCTGCCCACCTGCTGCCACGCCCACAGCACAGGCCGAGTGGTGGGGGCAGGAGCTCCCCTCTGATGGGACCTAAGAGGTCCCCAGGCCGTCCCTCACCTCCTCAGTCCTGGCTGTCCTCGTCCCAGACCCCCACCCACCCTGTGCTTGCTCGGAGCCCTGCTCCTGGGCCACACTGTCCTCGGGCCGCCCTGGGACAGCCCTGGGCTCCGTGGGCCTCCTCTTCCAGGCTCGTTCCCCAGCTGAGCGGCTGCCCGCAGCTCTGGGCCCCCAGGGGCCGAAGTGTCCCGCTGCTCCCTGACCACAGCCGACCCTGTTCTCTGGAAGACTAGGAGAGCCCAGCAGAGACGCCGGGAGGTGGCGCCCCTCCCCCGATCCTGGGCCCGGTCCGCCAGCTGCCAGGCCTTGCGCGGCTGGCACACTCCTGGGCTCTCCCTCGGCGTCCAGCGTGAAGTGCCGGCTATCACCGAGGCTGGCCCTCTGGGCCGGTCCTGGGCCCCTCCTGTCGCGGGGCTGAACCAGGCGCTCAGCGGATCGCTCGATGCTCCACCCCAGCAACACATTCCACTCCCTCCCCTCTGGTCTCTGGCTGGGCCTTGGGACCCAGCAGTGGCAACAGTGCCCTCTAGCCAGGATCCCCACCCCAAGGGGGGGTCCTTGGTCAAGGCCTGGGCGGGGGCGGGGGCGGGGGCGAGTGTCCGAGGGCCGGGCAGGCCTCTGGGATGCACTGTGGAAACATTGCACGGTACTTCCAGAACATGCAATGCAACTACAATGCACCGCAGCTGCCCGCCAGGAGGGGGCGCTGCCACACAGGTGGGCCCCCTCGAAGGCTGGCCTGCAGAACAGGGAGGTCCTGCAAGCTGCCTGCAGCAAAGATGGCGCCCTGGCCAGCTGGGTCTGGGACTGAGGGAGCCCAGCACGGGTGCCAGTGGAAACGCGAGCTTCCACCTGGGCCAGCCGCCCGCGCTGTGCGAAAGGGGCCTGGAGCATGGCCTGTCTCATGCGATCGCCCAGGCGGGTGGCGGTGTCCTTCCAGACCAGTGCCAGGACTCCCAGAGGGGTCGGCTGCGCCCACTCACGTGGTTGAGGCCGGGGTCAGAGGTGGCCCCGCTGACGCTGAGGCTGCTCCACAGGTGGCTGCTGGCTCTCTCGCAATGGCAGAAGGAATTCTGCTGCCCGTCTGCCTTCCCGGAGAGCGAGGCGTGCATGGCTCTGCAGACGTGGAAGACGGCTTTCACCAGGGGGCTCCTGCAGCAGACAGGGACAGGCAGGTCAGCGCGCGTCCCCCGGGTGCCCGGCATGCCCCACACGGCGGGTGTGGGGGTCTGCCGCCTGCAAGGCCCGCCCCACCTACCGCACCTCCTCCACCCGGGGCTGGAAGGGGCCAGAGTGCCATGGAAAAGCCACCTAGGCTGGTCATTCAAACAACCTGGGCCACACGTGCTTTGTAACCAAGTGGCCACACGCCGCTCGCTAGTTCCTGTGGCAAAATAAAGCGTGGTTCCCACTTTTGGTACCTGCTCTCTAAGGGAGCATCCCAGACAGGTGTGGTTGTCACAGACCACCTGGGGAGAGGCTGGTGAAGGGTGCCTATGGCATCATTGCCCTGAAGAGCAGAAGAAGCCACAATGCCTGACCCCAGGGGCCAGGCCTGCGGCTTGGCAGGGAGACACCCACAGGTGGAGTGCTAACCCACAGCTGGTGCAGTGGTGCACACTTTGGGGCCAGTGCTGTGGCGTCGCGGGTAAAGCCACCGCCTGTGAAGACGGCAACCCATATGCTCCACTTCCCAGCCAGCTGTCTACCACTGTGCCTGGGAAAGAGGCAGAGGATGGCCCACGTGTTTGGGCCCCCGCACCCATGTGGGAGACTCGGACAAGGCTCCTGGCTCCGGCCTGGCCCAGCTCTGGCTGTTGCGGCCATTTGGGGAGTGAACCAGCAGATGGAAGACCTCTCTCTGTCTCTCCCTCTAACTCTACTTTTCAAATAAATAAAATAAGTCTTAAAAAGGGGGGGCAATTTAAATGGAACCGGGTGTCAGAACTACTTGAGGGACAGAGCTTCAATGCTGCCCACCCCCACTTTGCTCTGCTCTCTCCCGAGCGCCAGGTAACTGCCGGTCTTGGAGCAGTCCCCAGTCTCTCTCGGGAACACTCGGTGTGATCAGAGCTGCCCAGCCTAATGCCCCCAAGTCGCTCGCTCCCGAAGCAACAAGCAACGTCAAAAGCTCTCTGGTCACAACTTGTGCTACAGGCCCTTCATTACAGAAGACTGACAGCGCTGGGGTGGCGGGGGCGGAGCTGAAGGCAGCCTGAGCGGGAGGGCTGCCACTCAGGGCTCCAGGGCACGCAGGCTTCCCGCGCCACACACAGCCGCTGGGCCCACCACTGAGCTCACACGGCGGGGCACGGCGGCCCAGCCGGGGCTCCCCATGGCACCCTCTGCCCCCTCCTCCAGCTCCCCGTCTATCATGCAGGCCTGACCCTTCCCCCAACGTGGCCACGCAGGCCCACTCCCTGCCCAACCCACAGCAGACCCCAGTGGAGGTACGCACTCGGCCACTTCCAGGGCCTTGGGGATCCGCTCCACTTCAGCAAAGTGAGAGCGCACAGCTGCGTCGTCTCCCTGCAGCCAGCCGATGGCCATGGTCACTGCAGATGTCCACCACCGACAGACGACATCTGGACCTGGAGGGAAGAACAGGCCAGCGCTGGCTGCTGCGACCCCCAGCAAGGGCCTCAGCGCCAGCCCCGCTTGGCCACGGTGGGAGCAGTGGCCAGCACCATGCCTTGGAGGAGATCTTGCCGGTGTGAACCGGAGCCCCCCAGAACGTCCCCTCGTATTAACGCAGTCCCAGTCCCCGCCATCTGACTGACACCGGCGCCCCAGGCCTCAGCAGAAAGCAGCGCAGGGACAGCAGCTCAGCAGGTGGACACGGGGCGGGGCCCACAGTGGTGCGGCCAGGGGAGACCCTCGGGCGGCAGTGGCAGCCTCCCCAGCCCGTGCTGTCACCCACCCCGCCGCGGTCCCGTGCCCGAGGGGCAGCCCTGGCACGGCAGAGCCGCCGCGGTGCTCACCAAGGGCCGACTTGAGCACTGAGCTACAGGAGAAGGGCGGGGTCACCATCCCCACAGAGTCCACGAGGGAGTGCAGCAACTTCAGGTGTTCCAGGGCGCTGGAGAATTCACTAGAAAGACAAGGATCCGCAGAGTCCACTCGCACGGCCCGGCCTCCCCAGGCGCAGGTCCCCCACGTGCACCCCACGGGCCTCCTTCCCCGAGCCTCTGGGCAGTCACCAGCACTCTCCTCTACCCAGAGGCTCGGCTTTCCTGCCCCTCAGGGCTGTTCCGGTGCCGTCCCCACTCAGGTTCACTGAGGTCGGGACCTGGGCCTTGCACAGGAAGAGCCAGAAGTCACAGGGCCCCCAAGGCGACCGGGCCACCGAGTTCTGCCGCCTGCTGGGCTGGCCACATCCCATTCGGATCCCCTCCCAACAATCTGCCACTCCCCATCTCCTACAGCAAAACAAACAAACTCGTGCAGTGCCTGACTTGCCCCACGTGCGGGGAGAAAGGGACGCACTTGGTGTGAAAGGAAAGGCCAGGTCACAGACCCCACGGGACTCTCATTTTGAAGAAATCAATACAGAGAACCACATGACCTGGTAACCCAACATCAGCGCTTGTTCACAGGGAGCAGTGTGGCAGGCCTTGGGCCACCCTTGGGCCAGGGCCCAAGCATGCGGCGGCCCGGGGACTTTACCAGCTGTCTTCTTCCTGGTCTCCAGTCTTCCTCTCGGCCTGAGGTTTCACTAAGGACTCCACGGCCTGCTCCAGCAGGTTCTTGCAGAAGGCCTGGTGCACCTGGGCAATGGGGTCGGCTGAAGAAAAGGGCGAGGTGTTAAAGGGCTCTCCCTTCCGAGCTCATCTGTCTTCATGGTGAAAACAACGGGAGGAACCCAGGAGAGAGCCATGTCCCCCCTTTCTCAGACTGCCCGACTGGACGGTGGTCGCTGGGGCCGCGTGTCACTCTGGGTGAGCCGACTCAGTGCTCAGAACACAAAGGTGAGGCGCTTGCAAGGAGGTGGCCGCAAGGCTCTCAGCAAACAGGAAACGGAAAGGTGACAGCTTCCCCATCTCGGAGGCCGTCTCCTGCACCCGCAACAGTGAAACACCAAGCAGGCCTGCGTCTGTGGACAGCCTCGCTGTGGGACCCGGGGCCAGCAAGGACCCGGCCCAGCTGCACTGCGCTCACTCCCTCCCCCTGGCAGCCCCGAATTACTGTCAACAGCCCTTCCCTCCCCTCCCCTCCCCTGCGTGGATACAGGGGCTCAGCCCTCCCCTCCCCTCCCCTGTGTGGATACAGGGGCTCAGCCCTCCCCTCCCCTCCCCTCCCCTGTGTGGATACAGGGGCTCAGCCCTCCCCTCCCCTGCCCTGTGTGGGGGGTTGGGGTCAGCCCTCCCCTCCCCTCACACCTAGACGACAAGGCACAGAAGCCGGGCTGCAGGCGGGCGCGAGGCCGCGGGAGTCTGCGGTGCACAGCTCACCAGGGAGGGTGCAGAGCAAAGACGGCTGCTGCTGCCCTCAGGAGCCCCTTTCTGATGTTCCACACCATTTATGTTGTCGCTGAAGACAACGACAGCACCCCCACGTCCGACCCCCACCCTCGCTGCAGAGCACGCCTCATTCTCCCCAACCCGGGGCTGGAAGGGGCAGAAAGCTTCCAGTCTGAGTCCTTGGGACCAGCCCCAGTGCTCCAAGGCCAGGCGAGTCCACTCCAATCACTGTCAAACGCTAGGGACAGAAAGCCGGCATCTCCTTCCGCCGCCTGGAGCCCCATCCCTGTCACCACTCGGCGCACCCGGGGACCGCCCGCCCCTGTTGTTCCTGAACTGCTCCATATACGTCCGTCTGTTCTCCCAGTGGCCAGGGGACAGGGCGAGGAACACAGCTGGTGCTCAATCGCGATCCATGCCGGCGCGGCACTGGGAACGGCGCGAGACGGCAGAGCTCCAAACCCAGCCGAGCCAGACAGGCCCCAGCCAGCTGCTGACCTCAGGCAAGTTACTCAACCACCCTGCCTGCGCCAACGGAGCAAGACCCAGACAACCTGTGTCTCCGCGTGCCCGGCGCCCCCGCGACTGCCACGGTGCTCACCTGGGTTCCTCTGGGCACAGTACAGACTCTCCTTGGCGGACGACTTCACCGACCAGCTCCGCTCCATGAAAAACTTCTGGCCCAGGGGGTGGCACAGCCAGCGCAGGGAGTCGGGAATGGCAGTGCGCTCGGGGCCACAGAGGCTCTGGGCTCGACTGAGGAAGTAGCTCTGTAGAGAGACAAGGACCAGGCGACACCAAAGTGGCGGCGGAGTGGTGTCCAAGGCCGCCATGGCAGAGGCAGGCTGGGGGAGCCCGGGCAAGGAGATGGGTGGAGGCGGGACCGGCGGGACTGAGCGCCACCCTTGCTCGGGGCAGACACAGGCACCGTGGGCCCTGCCCAACCCCACCCGCAGTGGCGGGGAGGGCTGCACTCCACCCTTGCCCTTGACCTTGGGACTCTTTCTCAAGTTACTTGAAGGACATACCTTGCATTTTCAGGTTACACTGTGTTTTGCTTTGACTAACTTTTCATCTGTTTTAGCTCTGTCTGTAAAGAGTTTAGAACAGTGTCTGTCGGGGGAGGGAACAAGCCCTGGTGTTGGGTTGACCAGGAAATCATATGGTTCAAATACAAAACCGAATACAAGGACCTGTATCTGGTATTCTAACCATCTGGCAGTGGTTACGATCTCACTGGGGCCGGCACTGTGATGCAATCACCTGTTGTGCCGACATCCCATTTGGGCGCCAGTCCATGTCCCGGCTGCTCCACCTCTGATCCAGCTCTCTGCTGTGGCCTGGGAAAGTGGCAGAAGATGCCCCAAGTGCTTGGGCCCCTGCACCCAGGTGGGAGACCTGGAAGAAGCTCCTGGCTCCTGCTTTGGCCTTGCCCAGCCCTGGCAGTAGCAGCCATTTGGGAAGTGAACCAGCAGATGGAAGATACATCTTTGTCTCCCTCTCTCTCGACTCTGCCT